TTTTTAGTTTTATTAGTACAGCTTACGGAATTTCAAGCAGTTATTCTTCAAACATAACCTTTTACCATTATCATTCATTTGTTTTTTTTTTTTAATTTTAAAAATACATAAGTCATATAGTGCTCGTTGGATGCGGAATTATGTCAACTTTCGTTTGGTAACGTCAGAATTACGATAACTTTAATCTTTTATAAAATATATTATTTTTTATTAACATTAATTAATATCTCGAAGACAACGAAAAAGGACATTTCCATATTTTTTGTGTTGAAAGTATCTAAAAAAAATTTTTAAAAAGACCGATTTTGAAAAATAGTCAAAAAAATTTTTGATTTTTAAAAAAAGGGGTAAAATTTTGAATTTTTTTGAAATTTTTTCGTCACCAATTGAAAGAGCACGAAAAAACCTTTGGAAAACATATATGTCAAAATTTTTTTCATCTACTTATATATTAATTACAATTTTTAGTTAATTATTTTAATAAAAAATGATATTGCAATTGTTTATAAAAAAATCCACTAATTCAAAATAGATTCATATTAGGCTCGTTGGATGCGGAATTAAGTAAGCTTTCAATTGGTATAGCTTCAGAATTGCAATAACTTTATTTATTTGTAAAATATTTCAATTTTTATTAGCATTAATTAATTAATTAATATCTCGAAAGTAAGAAAAAGGAACATCTCAATATTTTTTGTGGTGAAAGTACACATTTTTAACTTGTAAAAAAAAGAAAAAAAAAGACCGATCTTAAAAAAAAGTCAAAAAAAAATTTTGATTTTCAAAAAAAGGGTAAAATTTTGAATTTTTTTGTACCATTCGAAATAGCAGGAAAAAACTTTTCGAAAACAAATTAAAATTTTTTTTTCATTTTTCTGTTAAAAAATTACAGGTCTTCAAAAATTCACTGTTTAAATTTTTCAAAAAAATTCAACCCCCTCCTTCTCGTTCAGTTTTTGAAAAAACCTAACAATTTTTTTTCATTTTTCTGTTTAAAAGTTACAAGTCTTCAAAAATTCACTGTTTAAATTTTTCAAAAAAATTCAACCCCCTCCTTCTCGTTCAGTTTTTGAAAAAACCTAACAATTTTTTTTCATTTTTCTGTTTAAAAGTTACAAGTCTTCAAAAATTCACTGTTTAAATTTTTCAAAAAAATCCAACCCCCTCCCTTTTCTTCAGTTTTTGAAAAAACCTAATACTTCGTCGTTAAAGTACTCACCCCTAGGGCTAAACTATGTGCAAGTTACAGCCCGATTCGATCAACTTTTTTTTCACTTAGTACGCTACAGGAATTTTACCCCATTTATATACTGTAATTGACGTCATATATAAATAATTTTGAAAATACAAAAATTTTTTATTTTGCAATGAAAAGTCAGGAAACCATTAAAAAAAAAAAAACCCTCCCTCAGCCTGTTGGAAATCTGGCACGAAGGTCTTTTAAATTTTAAATATGATAGATTTATGATTTTATGGTAGTACAAGATGGTCAGTTTTCTTGATTTTGGTTACAGAAAAAGTAACGTTACAAATTACAATTCTTTTCATGTTATTGGCTATATTTCTTAGAAAAAAAAATTTAGAAAACGATTTTTTTTTACTTAAAAGGATTGTAGGACCTTTTTCCCAATAATCCTAAAAAAGAATTTTCTCACTCCTTCAAATTGTCAACAAAAACTTTTTACATTTTCCATAGTAAAAATTTGTTTTTTCCAATTATGCGAAATTTTTTTCTAATGATATATGCAATTCGAAACTTTTTTTAAAAGTAAATGTATCGTGCTCCAAATAAAGCACAACGTATAAGAATAAGGAGACTTCAGATTAAAACCAAAATTGTCCTTATTCGCTATAACAGCATTTCGGAAAATTCGAATTCTAAACTAGTGATAAATTTTTATTCCAAAAAACCATTTTTTAAAAAAATTTTATTTGAAATTCTAACTAGGCCAGTCAATAAAGACAAAAAGTGATAAAAAAAAAATTTTTTTTATTAAAAATATAATTCCATTTTTAAAAAGAGGAGAAAAAAATAACATGAAATCAAAAAAAGAAAGATTCCCACTCCGACGTCAGGAGCAAGGAAATATGATGAACTCCCTTTAGTCCACTTTATAAATAAGAAAAAAATTTCCTACAATGTTTACAATTTTTTATCTTATAGTACGTAAATTAAGCTTTAAGTACTGTAAATTTGACTAAAAAAATAATAATAATTATAGGGTCAGGAATTTTTTGAAAATAAAAAATTCATTTTCCCCCTCCCTTTTAAGCTACATCGTGTTTCTTTTTTTTTTTTTTGAAAATTTTGTAAAGAAAAAAGAAATTCAATGGCGTTTATTACAACTCGACAAAATAAAAAATGTCCAAGTAATTGCAATTGTTTATAACTAAAAAAAAGTACCCTTTTTTCTTTATCGATAACTATGCAATTAAATAATGAAATTCGATGATTTTTTTTATGTACATGATAGTATCACTTTTCAAGAATAAAATGAAAGAAAAAAAAATTGAATTCGCTCTGTATCGTTCTGTAGAAATTATGTTGAAAAACAACATGTTTTTAATTAACAAATGGAATAATTTATAAACTATTCATCCGGATTGAGTTCGAAGTTTTTTCATTTTGTTCAATATTGCCAGGGGCACATTTTCATAAAGTTTCACTCCAATCGGATAATTATTAACAAATTTATTAAACAATTAAAAAAGTGCTATTTTTAATGGTTTAAATTCAATAACTTTTAAACAAATAATCCGATTTTTAACTTTTCACCCACCATTTTGTAGATATTTTTTATACCTTTTCTTTTTAATTACAATTTTTTCCTCCAAAATGTAAAGGAAAGCAAAGAGCACCAAAAAATCACGTTTCACCAACTTTGACCATTGTTTATAACAATTTCTGCAATCGAAAATCGAGAGCAAACTATGGGGCCTTTATACAACCCTTCCCCCCCGAACCACCAAAATTTTTTTATTTTAAATATTAAAATTTTTAGCGCTTATTAAAAAAATTTTTTTAATAAAAAACCCATTTGTCTTCTTAATTAAATTCCTTTCATAAATAAAAGAATTATACTATCAGAATGAAACATTTAACTATTAAAAACTATTGTAATTTTTTTTTCTCAAAAATATTTTTTCTGATTTGACAATATTTTGTTTTGTTTCATTTATTTTGATTTTACAAAATTTTATTTCAGAAGCAATATTTCTTTTGACAATAAAAATGAAATAAATCTTTTGATAATATATAAATTATATATTTATTTTTTAATTTTTAAAAAAAAAATTTCGAAACCGTTAGTTCTCCGATAGTTTTTTTTGTACTTTCTTGTATACAATTCTGGTGGGAAGGAACGAAAATTCTCTAAAAATTTTATTTCTTTTTACCTATCTTTAGTATAAACTCAACTGTATATACGAGGAAGATTATATGAAGATCGTAAAAAATCATAAAAATTGACCCTCTTGCAACGAAAAATACCTTAAAAAGATTTTATCATCAAAAGGTAAAGCAGATGTGTCAAAATTTTGTATTCGTTTGTCACATCTGGTTTTATCTCTATAGATGACTAGGTTTTTCGTTTTGCAAGAGAACCTTTTTTTTATTTTTACAACCTTTGAATTTTAATTTAAAAAAACGGTTTTTCAAAACAGATAAAAATCGCAATTTTCTTCAATTTTTTTTTATAAACTTTGGCTTATTTTACTCAGTGAAACATTTTCTATAATTGTAAATTTTTTTTCATTTGTTTAATGTATGTTAAACAATTATTTAATTAATATAATTTGTATTTTTAAAAACCACTTTTTAGTTTTGAGGTTATATTAGAACGTCCATCCTCTTAAAAATTATTAAGTTTCATAAAAAAAAAAATATTCATAACTTTATGTTTAAGAGGAGATTACGGTGATTTTTGAGATTTTTTTCAAAGATTCTTTTTTTATAGTAAAAAAAAATATTTATTAGTTACAATTTTCTTATGATAAAATATAAATTTTAAAGAGTCGAAAATCATTTTTCGTTTTCTTTTTTGTTTAAACAATCTAATAAAAAATGGCTGCCGAAAGTGGTAGATTTTAAAAGTTTGTCACACTTTTTTCTGGTACAGTTAATTTAAAATGAAAAAACCAAAATTTTTCTTAATCTGTACTATTTTGGCTATCGTGTAAACTAGAATTAAAAATATTCATTGAAAAAAACCTATTGGCAGACTTTTTTCATTTTTCAAGAACAATTTCGCAACTTTAATTGTTTATAACTTTTAAAAATATTAATGGATTTTAAAAATCCTTGTTTACACGAAAACTATATACGCAAGAAATATACTGTCTAAATTTGAAGTTATTTGATTGAATAGTTTTAAAATGAGAGTGTGTGACAAAGTTGAAAATATGCAGTTTTGAGAAAAAGGCGTTTAAAGTTTTTTAAGTAGAAATTAAGCAAAAAAAGTGATTCTTACTCAATCGGCTATACCGGCTACATACATAGGGCCTTCTTTGACTTCTAAAATATCATTTTCAAGTAATCTATTGCCAGTCAAGTAGCAGTTATTGCCTAGTCAAGTAGCTCTTATATAGACAAAAAAAAATCAAAAATGAAAAAAAAATAATTTTGAGTTTTTGAAAAAAAAATCACCGTAATCTCCCCTTAAAGAATCAGTTGAATATTTTTTGGTTGGTAAATTTTGTTTTAAATACAGAAATTAAAGTTTTTTTTTGATGTTTTAAAATAGGCTGGTATACTTGCTCTCTAAATCTGAATTAGTAAAAATGTTTACTAATTTGAATTAGTGACTCACTTTTTGCTTCTGAATTAGTACAATTTTACTAATTGTTATTAAAAGTTACTAATAATTAGTAAAATTTTACTAATTCAGAAGCAAAAAGTGAGTCACTAATTCAAATTAGTAAACTTATTTACTAATTCAGATTTAGAGAGTGGGGTTATTGTGTGCAGAAATCTCAAAGATATCTTTGTGTTTACATTTTAGAACGTAAGTGTGCTGCATAGCGTTTTCGTTATTATATTATGCCATTAGAGAGATAGGAGATCATTTATGATGACTAAGAGTTGCAAAGAAAACAAAAGATAACTAGACGTGTATTAACAAAGCATCTTTATCGTCCTTTCAGTTCATTCAAAGGTGTTGTATCTTTCTGAGATTCTTCTCGTTTGGTAAATATGATTCGATCATATTTTATAATAAATAATAATAATAATTTATTTTATAAAAATGGAATCACACTAAAAAAATTTATAAATTTAAAAAGAGCATTTAACTCCTTAACATAACCTCAAACTAAAAATTGGTTTCTACAAATGCAAATGATTAAAATTAATTTTTCAAAATTTGATGAAATGGGTTGAACTTTCTTAACTTAACTTTTACTTTCTTATGATAAATTTTTTCTCTTCGTCAATTGTCAAACTAAAATTGGATTTCTACGAATAATAATCGTATCTTTTTAGTTCCGGAGAAAATAACTATCTGTATATAAATACAGATAGTATACTGTATAATATAGTTTTCTTTTCACAAGAACTAAAAAGATTTATTATTATTCATAGAACTCGTCGGTAAAATTGGATCGAATTTAAAACCTTAAATTTTTCTTTTTTTGAGGTTATGTTCATCAATTTTAACCTCAAACTCAGCGATTTTTTTACACCTATGACCTTGAATTTTGAGGTTACATTTGTCTCTTACTTATTTTTCTAAATAAATTGAGAATTTTCATTCAATAAGAAAATAAAATGCTGTTATTATTTTTTTCCATATAGAATAAAAAAAATAATTGTAATACAAAATTTTTTTTAATAAAAATATTACATATTACAATATTACATTAATATTACATAATATTACATAATATTACATAATATTACATAATATTACAAATATTACATATTACATTACACCCATAAAATATAAATTTGAGAAGAATTTGAAAGTGTTTTGCAATAACAATAAAATTCTAAAAAAAAAAACCTAACACACACTTATTCCCACTATTCACATTGTTGATGATTTCTGATTGGTTTAGCTATACTAAACTGGCCACATCCCATTAGTATCATATCATATGTCTGGCGCGCAGTCATAAAAAAAAATTTCCTTGACCGGCGACGACAACAGTCTTCCTTAATCTTTTCACCAATAAACTTCAAAGTTGACACATTTTTTTTATTTTTTTTTTATTATTTCTAAAATTTTTTTTTTTTATATACAAATTTCTGAAATCGATTTCGGACTTAGACTCTTGAGAGTTTCGAAGAAATTATTATCGTAATCAGAGTTTCGCTTCGTTATTTGTATATAAACACGAAAGTTACGTGATATTTTTATAAACGTATTTCCTAGAAGTGTGTCTGTTATTATGACATTGAGAAAATAATATACACAAGAAATGTGAGTTTAATTTTTTTTTTTAATAATTTTAATTGTATAATTTATATATTTAATTATATAATTTATTATTATAATGAAAATACATTAAAGATAGAAAAAAAGTATCCAGCTTCATTTTTTTTTTATTTTTATTATTATAGAAAAAAAATTTATTACTTAATTTTTTCCTTTGGGGTTGAGACACGTTTTACAAGATTATAATCTTTTTAACTTATTTGCATTTTTTTTTGTATTTTGTTGAGACCTTTGCATATATAAAGCAATTTAGATAGTAAATAGACACTTTGACAAATCCCTTTATTTTACTCTAATATTTCCTTAACTACGAGTTTCAAAAACTTCTCAATCCACCAAAACCTAACCTCCACCATTGTAACTCTTAATAACGTATAATTATATTTATTATTTCTATTATTATTATTAATATTATTATTATTATTATTATTATTATTATTATTATATTATTTAATATATCTTAAATCATATTTTTAATATAAAATCAATAAAATTTATATTTTAAAAAGCCGCTTGAAAGTTATATAAATTTTATTAATATAAAAGTAATAGTAGAATATATCTGCAAATTGTTTTTTAAACAAATAAACATTAAATAATTAATTTTACGGGAGATAAAAATAATCAAAAGAAAAAAAGATAATAAGTAATCGGATGCTGGCCGAAGCACAAATATTATGCCAGATATTCATAATGCGAATTTTCACCGTTTTGAATAGTGTTAATTTTACATTTTCAAATGTATAGTAAAGAGATATTTTACTTTTCAAAAAAAAAATTAGTTTTATTTTAGTGAATTTTTAGAAAAAAAAAACAGGGTTGACACTGGTCACGGAAATCATGGAAATTTAGAGAAAGTGAGATTGGTCAGGGAAATTAGGGAAAAGTCAAGAAATTTTACGAAATGTACTGGAAAAATAACAAATTTCTAAAAATGCTACTAAAAGTTATAGTTTTTGAAATTTTCAATTCAAACTTTTGCTTCAAAAAATTATTGTCTCACATTTTTATAATTTTAGGCCTCGGATCGACTTTCGAAAGAAAAAAAAAGTCATTTTAGTCGATTTAATTAATTTAATTAGTTGATGAATATTTTATTATTATTAACAATTTGTTATTTTTTTTATTATTATTTATTTTGTCTTTTATTGTCTTTTTACAATTTTCTATTATTTATTTTACTCTTTTTACAGTTTTATGTTATATTTTGTGTGTTCATCTGTCTTTTTACAATTTTATTTTTGACTTTGTTTATTTTACTTTTTATTTTATTTATTGACTTTTTATTGTTTTCTTTTCTGGTGTGCTGTTGATTCCGCTTGACATTGATTTTCGTTTTATTTTAAAATTGATAACGCAGGATGTAATAATAATAATAATAACAATTTTTTATTAGAAATTAAATAAAATTTATTAATTCCTTAAAAAGAATGTTTCACAGAAATATTTTCAACAATTTTTCTTTTTAAACTACCAAATTAAACTGAGACAAATTTTTACTATTTTAATTCAGTTTCAGAACAAATTTTAAAAAATAATTTAAAATTACCAATTAAAAAAAAAAGAAATATTTTCAAGTCTGATTTATGCACATTATTCGAATTCAGAATTTTGGAAAATGTTCTAAATAATTAAATTTTCTAAGAATTTCATTAAAATTTATTGAGAAAAGGAATTAATTTTAAATGAAAATTTGTGAAATAATTTAATTTCAAAAGATATTTAATAAAACTTTTAAAAATATAATTAAATTTGAAAGAGTTTAGTTGAAAATTTGTAAAAATAATTGAATTTCAGGAGATTTTCAATTGAAACTTTAATAAATTTGAATTAATGAATTTTTTTTTTTACAAATTTCAGACAATAATTGAATTTTAGAGAATTTTCAACTGAAATGTTTTAACTTTTAAATATTTGAATTTTAATGGAGTTACACTTAAGATTTTTGGAAATAATTGCATTTTTTGAGATTTCAAAAATTATAATTTTGTTGTAAATATAAACGTTAATTAAATAACAAATTTAAGGAATTGCGAATTTTTGAAAAATTGGATTAAAACTGTTGAAATAAATAATTAAACAAAGAATTATATAGATAAAAATTTAGGAAAAAAATTTTCAATTGAATTAACTTTATTAAAGTAATTAAAAAAATTAATTTACCAAAGAATTTTAAATAAAATTTTCAGAAATAATTGAATTATCGAGAATTTTAGAGAATTTTCAATTGAAAAATGTTTTAAAAAATTGAATTTTCGATTTTAAACATTTTCAATAAAAATTTTAATAAACTTGAATTATTTAAAATTTTTTAAAATAATATAAACAGACATTTAATTTTAAAGAATTTATAATTAAAAAACGTTTTATGTAATTGAATTTTTGAGAAACTTGATTAAAGTTATTAAAAATAATTAATTGAAAAGGAAATTGAATTTAAAAATTTGAGAAATAATTGAGTTTTGGAAGAGCAATAGTTAAAATTTTTGTAATTAATTGAATTTCAGGAGATTTTTAATGAAAATTTTCGTAAATTGGAATTTCTGTAGATATTTTATAAGCTTTAAACAATAATTAAACTTTGGAGAATTTTGAATTTGAAAATGTTTTAAATAATTGAATTTTTGAAAATCTTGATTAAAATTATTAAAAATAAATTATTCAACAAATTTAATTTTACATGAAATATTTAGAAATAATTGTATTGTAGGAATTAAAATTTTGAGAAATAATAATTGAATTTTAGGAGATTATTAATTGAAACTTTCATTTGGAATTTGTGAATTTTTTTGAAAAACTTGAGACAATAATTGAATTTTAGTGAATTTGAAGAACATTAAATTCTATTTTTATCTCACGAAAAAATGAAAAATTCATTTTTTTTACCTAAAAATCGATTTTTTTAAAAAACGGCTTGATTTTGAATTTTTTATTATGCAAAATACTCAGAAAAGTGTCAAGAATCAAGGTATGAAAGAAATTTTACATTGAAAGGACCTTTGGGTTAAAGTGTGTTAAGGACCACTGTGAGGTGGTTAAAGAAAAGAAAATTTTAATTTTTGACCATTTTAGAAATTAAAGTCTTAAAATAATTAAAATTTTCAAAATTGTACTTCTTTTACAATTTTTTTCCAAACTTTCTTAACAATTTTTGAAAATCTCTCGCGCAGATTTGAAAAAAATTTTGATTTAAAAAAAAAATAAAAATTCTAAAATGATCCAAAATTAACCCACTTAGAACGATATAGTACTGTAAGGTTACTGTATGCTTATTTGAATGTTTTTTTTTTTAAATCATCAATTTAAAAGTAAATCTAGGTCACTAAAATTAAATTATTCTCAAAATTTTCAATTCCAAATTAATTATCAAAATTCTCAATCCAAAATCAACTAAAATTAAATTATTATCCAAAATTTCAATTGAAATTTTATTATTTTCAAAAATTTCAATCCAAAATCAAGTAAAATTCAATTATTTACAATTTCAAATTTAATAATTTAATCATTTCAATTATAATTATCCTGAAATTCAATTATTTTTAACTATTTTTATATTCTTCGAATATTAAACTATTTAAAACCATTTTTCAATTAAAAATGGTTTTCAAATTATCGTATTTTTGTCCGCAATTTTTAATAAATTTTTTAGTGAAATCATCAAAAAATTTTAATTAAATATCACTTGAAATTCAATTAATTTAAAAAATCTCAATTGTAAATCTTTGAAAATTCAATTACTTTTAAAAAATGTTATCTAAAAATATTTGATAAATTATTTTTAGTTCCGGTAAAATTTAATTATTGTCTGAAAATTAACAAAATCTTTGGAAATTCAATTATTTATAAAAAATTTTAACTTTAACTCTTACAAAATTATTATTATTTAAAAAAAATTTTTATTTAAAAATCATAAAATAATGTTTAATTTATTAAACATTAAATTATTTGATAAAATAATTATAGATATATTAAATACTAATTAATCGAATTAATTTTTGATTTTTTTTTTTGTTTTTAGGTAAAGAAATATGAGATGGAAAGTTAGGAAATGGGAACTCAATTAATTAAACTGAAATTGTATCTAAAATAAAGAAAAAAATGGAAATTAAATTACATCCTATAAATGAAAATGGAAATCTTTCTGAATGCCCATTAATATTGACTGAACAAAAATCGGTAATTATTTGTAGAATTATGTTTTTTTTTCTATTTTTTTTCAAAAATAATTGTCTTATTTTATTTTCTAGTATACCCTTGGACGAAAATCAGATAATAAATTTAGAATTAAGAATAAATCTATCTCTAAATATCATTGTGTTTTTAATCATAATGAAAATGGATTGTCTGTTGAAGTCTTAACAGTAAGTTTTGATAATTTTTTTTTATTATTTATAAAATAATTTAAAATTTTACAAATAGGTTTGAATTTTATTTTTCTATTATTTAAAACAAAATAATATAAAGATAATAATATTTTTTCTTTAATTCTACAGTCTAGAAAAACGTTATTTATTAATGAGAAACAAATTAGAAAAGGTGAAATTGAATATTTAAATAATGGCGACATCGTAAAAATTGGCAACGAATGTAAATATCTACTTATAATTAAGGTAATGATTTAATAATAATAAAAAAAATGTAATAGAAAAATTTTTTTAATTTTTCATCCAGAGCTATTTCTTGTATTTATATTCACATTTTATTTCTTAAATTGTTAATAAAAATCTTAATGGAAATTTAGAAAAATAAATTATTTAATTGAAAAAATAATTTTATTTTAGATATCTGAAGTTAAAGAATCAGAATCTTGTATTAATGCTTTAAATGCTTGTACAACATATCAAGATGGCGATATTAATATTAAATCGGAACCAATGTCATTTGAGAATCGAATGGAGAATAATGAAGAAATGTCGAAAATTTCATTTTCTTCCACGAACGTCAATTCTAATCAAATAACAAGTAAGTATTTTTTTTTTAAAGAATTTTAATTAAAAATATATTGGAGTTACATTTAAAAAAAAAAAAATTTTTTGAAAAATTGTGATTATTCATATTCCAATGTTTAGGAAAAAATTAAGTTTCAAAATTTATCAAATATAGAATATTTGACAATGTTTTTAATTTTTTTTTTTTCAAATGTGAATTAATTATTACAGATGTAATACACGCTATGGAAAAAAATTGCGAACATTTTTCAAATGAAAATAATTCACAACAATTGCAATTTCCTTTATCTAATCAAATTTCCAATTTAAATGATGCAATGGAAATTTCAATTGACGAACATGATGATAAATCATCACTTCTTCCACTAAGAGCAGTAACAAATTCTTCCACATTATTGGCATCAGTTGTTTTACCATTACCAAACTTGTCCAGTTTACAAGAAACAACAATAAATTCAGAACAAAATGAAAATTCCCTAGAAACAATGATAAAAATTGAAAATCCCGATATTCCACCGACAAATTTAACATTTTTTACAAAAGATCCTTCATTTGATTTAACTACATCTCAAATGGAGGAAATAAAAAAAGAAAATTTAAATGATCCTCTTTCAGAATTACAATCAAATGTAGAATTAGAAAATTCAAATAATTTTTCAACAAATGAAATTAATATTACTCAAGATCCTTTATCGCAATTGGAGGGAAGTGAAATTTTAGAAGAGAGAATTAAAATTGAAAATCCCGATATTCCATCGACAAATGTAAATTTTTTTACAAATGATCCATTATCTCAATTGGAAGTTATTGAAGAAAGTATAAAAATAGAAAATCCCGATATTCCATCGACAAATGTAAATTTTTTTGCTAAAGATCCTTTATCTAATTCGAGAACAAATCAAATGAATTCACAAATAAATGTCGAAAATTTCAATAATCCTTCGACAAATTTAAATCATTTCGTTGAAAATTCTTCAATTCAATTGGAATCAAATGAAATTCAAATGGAAATAAAAATCGAAAATCCGGATATTCCAGCGACGAATTTAAATTTTTTCGACGAAAATTCTTCAATTCAATTGAAATCAAATCAAATGAATTCAGAAATAAATGTCGAAAATTCCACTATTTCTCCAATAAATTTAAATCATTTCGTTGAAAATTCTTCAATTCCATTGGAAACAAATGAAATTCAAATGGAAATAAAAGTTGAAAATCCCGATATTCCAGCGACGAATTTAACACTTTTCGATGAAAATCCTCCATTTCAATTGAATTTAAATAAAATTCCACTCGATAGAATAAAACAAGAAAATTCCGATAATCAATCAACAAATTTATTATCTACAATTGAATTGGAATCAAATGAAAATTTACAAGTTGACAAAAATTTGGAATTAGAGAAACAATTATTTATTAATACAGAAAATTGTGTTCCTCAATTATTGGAAGATGAAATGGAAATTGAAATCGAGGAACACGAAATAAAACCATTTATTGAAAATAATGAATCAGAAATAAATAATTTAACAACGTCAATTCTTCGAATACGTAACGATCTTATTGGATTTCAACAAGAAACGGAAAATTCAAATACAGAAATAAGAATAAAAGATGAAATAATTGATTCGTCATTTAATATTGAGACTGATAATAATAATCATCAAACCAAAGATAATAATATTGAAATAAGAAATAAAAATCACGATGAAATTAGGAAAAAAAGACGACGTGATTCCAATGAGAATATCAGTGATTTTAGAATAAAGCAAGAAAATATTGAAATTGATGAAAATTTCACAAGGCCAATTAAAAGAGAAAGAAATGATTCAACGGAAACAATTGAAAATTATTCTTCATTATTAAATTTCGATAATGTTAAACAAGAACCAATTGATCATGAAATAAGAAATTATTCCAATTCTTTTGAAATAAATGAAGAGAAATCTGTTATTTTCAATGAGAATAGAAATTTAAATACATCATACGATTCAGATTTTAGTGATTGTTCAACTGATGATTATGACGATACGATGTTAACAAATAAAAATCTCAACACTTCCAAATCTTCTCAAACGGCTGTGAAAGTACCTGAAACAAATTCTGTAAATAATATTAATAGTGAATTACATTCTATGAGTGGAAAATTAAGTAATGATTTATCAAATGAAAAAAAAAGTGATGGTAGAAAAAAAGACAGTAGGGAAAAAGAAAAGGAAAGAAATAGAAAAGAAAGGGATAAAGAAACGGAAAGTAGAAGAAGAAGAAGAAGTAGTAGTTATTCAGAACGAGGAGGAAGAAGAAAAGATTATAGAAATGGAGAGAAATCGGAAAGAGAAGGGAGAAGAAAAAAAGAAGACGAAGGAAAAAGAAGAAAAGAATCCGAAGGAAAAGGAAGAAAGTACGATGAAGAAAAAGTAAGAAAAGAAGATGAGAGAAGAAAAAAAGACGAGAAAAAAGATTCAAGACGAGAAAATTATGAAAAAGAGAGGCAAATTAATAAAGAACATTCAAAAAAATCCACGGAATCAATTACAAATGAATTTCCAATAAATCATCAAGAAGCAACGTGTTCTAATTTTAATAACGAAAATTCAAAATCAATGGAAAAAGACACGTTAAGAATTGATTCAAGATTTCGTAATTACACTGGAGGAAGAGTTCTCGTCGATGATGAATTTCCCGAATCAAGAGAGAGATTTACCAGAACAATTGATACAGGAAAAAGATTTCCACCACCACCACCACCACCTTCTGCTTACAGATCGAATATCACAAAAAATAAACCCTCGGAAAATATTTCCCGAGAAAGATTTCCATCAGACGATATTAGAACGAATAAACCAATTGAAAAGAAAAAAATTGGATTAGCAGAATATAGAAACAAAAAAAAGGATTTGGACACAAGACCACCATCATCATCATCATCAAATAATGAAAAATCAACGAATCACGGCGATGAAACTGTTCCACTTACAACATTCAGACAATATGGAAATCGAGTACAAAATTTTAGAACCGAACCCCCTTTAAGAACACAAGAATCCAATGCCAATGTTGTGAATCCAATTTTCAATGAATTAAGAACACAACCTCAGGGAATTAGAACGCAAACAACAGCTCCGTCTGATCCTCGATTAGCGAGACAATTTGATAAAACTTCGTTAATTCCCGGTACGATTCCACCCTTAATTCCAGGAACAATTCCGCCATTAATTCCCGGTTCGGTTCCTCCATTAATTCCCGGTTCTGTTCCTCCATTAATTCCCGGTTCGGTTCCTCCACTAATTCCCGGTTCAGTTCCTCCATTAATTCCCGGTACAATTTCACCGATGATGCAAGGATCTGTTCCATCGATGATTCCAAATCAAATTCCAAATGCAATGATTCCCGGTTCGGTTCCATCGATGATTCCAAATCAAATACCAACAGCAGGCGCGACAGCGTATCCATATATTGGAGCAGGTGGAATGATGAATTATTTCTTCATGCCTGGTGGATATTTTCCTGGTATGTATCAATTTCCCTATGGCACTCAACAATCATTGGATCCGAGAATAAATTCATCATTTCCAATGGCATTTCCAATGAATATGCCAGGAGTATCGTCAACGGAAACTAATCCTACTGCCGGTACTAGCAATGATAATAATTTAGATACAGAATTATCGCCTAATGATAAAATTTTGGGCAAAAATGATGAAATACAAAGCGGTAATAATGAAAATCGAGTGAAATTAAGCAAGGAAATTGTTGATATTAAGGAGAAAAATAAACGAACTGCAACGTGGATTAAGGAAACAATGAAAGCTAAACCTGATATTATTAAAAATCCTATTCATAAATCACGTGACGATAGATCAAGAAAACGTGATAAAGGAGAAATGAATAGAGATAAAGGAGAAAATGATAAAAGAAAAGAACATAGAAATAATGAAAAAATTAATGAACCAACAATAAAAATTGAAAAGAAATTACCAACGGAATTTGAATCAGAGGATTTGGGTGATCAGGTGTTGATGAAAATTTTCTCATGGGGTCCACAAGTTTTTTTTAAGGTAAATTATTATTGTTCTAATAAAAGAAAAAACGAAATTTATTTTTAAAAAATGTAGATTTCTCACTTATCTATGAAGACAGGAATTTTAATGTATAAATTTTAAAAATTTTCTGTACTTTTTAAATCTGTATTCAGTATATTAATTAAGAAAAATATTTACAAAAACAAAAAAGTATAATTTTGAAAAAATACAATTTTTTAATATCGATTAAATTAATTAAAACATCTTAAGTTAATTTTTATTATCTAAAATTAATATTAATGTTTAAAAACAATAATTATGTATGATTTATGTTTTTTTCAGAATAATGCGCTTGATATTCCTGAATTGTATCTTAGGAAACAACTTCTATTAAATTATGAGGAATATATGGAATATAAAACAATGTTTTTTAAATTAATTCTTTATGTACTTACTTCACAAATGCAAGAATCATTCAATGCAATGGCGGCAGATGTTGGAAGGTACGTGGTGTCAATGTCAAAAAAAAATGTTAAAATAATAATTCAGTAGTATTTAACAGGCCTCGGATTATACGACTTTTTCGACTATTTTCGACTTATTTTAATAAAATGCGACTAATTCGACTTTTTTTTACATTTTTTAAACAAATTTTTAAATAAAATATATTTTTTTTTAGTATAAAATGTAGATCTTCTTCTGATCTTCTTCAATTCAATTATTTAACAAATTTTTAACTAAAATTCTTCACTAAATTAATTATTTTTTAATAATTTTAATGAAATTCATCAGAAATTCAATTATTTTAAATTATTTTTCAATTAAAACTTTTATGAAATTTAACAATTGTTTTTATAATTTTAAAAAAATATCAAATAAAATTACCAAAAATTTTTAATTCAAAATCAAATAAAGTTCAATTATTTTCAAAAATTTCAATTTAAGGCCAGGTCCAAGTGAGGCAGCGCCATCTACATTAATACTAAAATTTTGGAAAATTTTCAACAGCCTTTTCTTGAAAATAAGATGGTAAAATGCTTTTTCCTTTATGGATAATTGATTATTGGCAAGATATACACCAGCTAAAACTTTTTTTGAGTTAAAATAATAAAAAAATTTCATGTCAATAAATTAAATATGAGCACTTTTTTCACAAAAACTGTAACAGTACTTTCTCAGAAATTACAATCAAAAATGCAATTTCCATTTGGAAAATTAATAAACGCTAAAAAATACACGACCTAAGATTTACCAATCACGAAAATAAGAAAAAAAAATTTTATTAAATATTTAACATATTGATACTGCTTTACTGATTGTGACAGCCCTTTGGTAGATTATGTATTTCAGGTGGTTAGCAACAGCGCCAATCTCCTCCTTTCGGCAAAACTGCGAAACGTCTGGTGACATATATAACCTGCCAAACGGCTGTCATAATGAGTAAAATATGTTATGTTAAAATACTTTTTTTGTTATTTTCGTGATTGGTAAATCTTAGGTCGTGTATTTTTTAGCGTTTATTAATTTTCCAAATGGAAATTGCATTTTTGATTGTAATTTCTGAGAAAGTACTGTTACAGTTTTTGTGAAAAAAGTGCTCATATTTAATTTATTGACATGACATTTTTTTTATTATTTTAACTCAAAAAAAGTTTTAGCTGGTGTATATCTTCCCAATAATCAATTATCCATACAGGAAAAAGCATTTTACCATCTTGTTTTCAAGAAACGGCTGTTGAAAATTTTCTAAAATTTTAGTTTCAATGTAGATGGCGCTGCCTCACTTGGACCTGACCTTAAAATCAACTAAAATTCAAAAATTACCCAAAATTTCAATTCAAAATCAATTAAAAATTCAATAATTATCCAAAATTTCAATTCAAAATTAATCATTATCAAAATTTTTAACCAAAAATCAACTAAAATTAAATTATTATTCAAAATTTCCATTGAAATTCAATTATTTTCAAAAATTTGAATTTAAAAGTTTCTAAAATTTTCTATCGAAAAATTTTTGAAATTTAATAATTTCAATATTATAACTCTCCGGTAATTTAATTATTTTTTATAATATTTTTTAAAAATTCAACTTTCTGAAACCATTTTGCAATTAAAATTCAATTATTTTCAAAAATTTGAATTTAAAAGCTTCTAAACTTTAATTAATTCTAAAATTTTCCATCGAAAATTTTTTGAAATTTAATAATTTCAATTATAACTCTATGGAAATCTAAAACCATTTTTCAATTCAAAATGGTTTTCAAATTATTGTATTTTTGTTCGCAATTTCTAATAAATTTTTTAGTGAAATCATCAAAAATTGTTAATTAAAAATCACTTGAAGTTCAAATTAATTTTAAAAATCTCAATTGTAAATCTTTGAAAATTCAATTACATTTAAAAAATGTTATCTGAAATTATTTGTATTTTTAGTTTTGTAAAATTTAATTATTGTCTGAAAATTAACAAAATCTTTTAAAATTCAATTATTTCTAAAAATTTCAGCTTTACAACCTTCCAAAAGTATTATTATTTAAAAAAAATTTTGATTTTAAATTCTGTAAAATATTTTTATTAAAATAAAAAAAAATCGACTTTTTTTAGAATATAAATCGACTAAAACGACTTTTTTTGTTCCTTTAAGTCGATCCGAGGCCTGTATTTAAAAAATTTTTAAATGGAACTTGGATTTTTTTTTTTAGAAATTTATTAATATTTTTTGAAAATTTGTCTTAGATTCTAAAATATTCGAAATAAATTTTCTTTATAATATTATTACAGAAACGTACATATATATTTTTTTTCTTTTTACATCGATTTATAAACTTTTGAAAATAAAATTTATTTTCTAGTTTTTATAAATGCCGCATGCTTCCGGATATTGGTCAGAAAATAAAAATCAAAGATTCAAAATTCTACCTAGTGCCTTTATATTTAAAAATTAATGTACCAATCACAACAGATGTTATCCCTCCGGCTGTTGGAGATTTACTCTTAATAACGATAAGCAATAATTCTAAGAAATTGGAAATTTTTGGTTATATGGAGAAAATAGTTATTGAAGGTAAATATTTAAATAAAACAATTATTTATAATTATTATTTAATATTTATTACTTACAAACATTAATTTTTTATTTTCAATTTTTTGGTAAATTTTGCTTGGCAATATTATTTTAAATTATTTATTTCAAAAAAAAAAAACAAAAAAAATACTAATGCTTATTATATTTCACCAAAAATTGTTACGAACTATTTTTTTGAAAAAATTTTATGATTTTTGTTAACCGTACAATTTTTGGCAATTTTTTATAAAATTTTAAATATTTACCTTGGAATTTGAAATTTAAAGATGAGTAGCATGGGAAAAAAATTAAATTAACATAATTAAACATTAATTAACAACAATTTATCATTAACAAAAGCATTAATAAAATGCGACTTTTTTTTACATTTTTTTCAATTTTTAAACAAAATACATTTTTTTTTAGTATACAATGCAGATATTTATTATATCTTCTTTATTTCAATTATTTAACAAATTTTTAACTAAAATTCTTCACTAAATTAATTATTTTTAATAATTGTAATGAAATTCTTCAACAAATTCAATTATCTCAAAACAATTTTTCAATTAAAATTTTTATGAAATTTAATAGTTTATAATTTTTAAAAAATTAACAAATAAAATTAACAAAAAAATTTTAATTCAAAATCATATGAAATTTAATTATTTACAAAAATTTCAATTATTTTTAATGATTTTTATAATATTCTTCGATAATTAAATTATCTTAAAGCATTTTTCAATTGAAAACAATTTTGCAATTCAATTTTTGTATGTGATTTTTAATAAATTCTTCATCAACAGAAATTACTAAAAAAAAATTCTCTTATTATAATTATTGCCTGAAATTTAACAAAATCTTTTAAAATTCAATTATTATCAAAAATTTCAATTTAAAAGTTTCTACAATTTAATAATTTCTAAAATTTTCCATCTAACATTTTTTTTTTGAAATTTAATAATTTTAATTATAACTCAAAATTCAATTATTTTTAATGATTTTTATAATATATTCTTAAAAAATTCAACTATCTGAAACCGTTTTTCATTTAAAATTTTTTAAATTATTGTATTTTTATCTGCAATTTTTAATAAATTGTTTTTAGTGAATTCATTAAAAAAATTTAATTAAAAATCACTTGAAGTTCAATTAATTTCAAAAATCTAAATTGGAAATCTTTGAAAATTCAATTATTTTAAAAAAATTGTTATCTAAAATTATTTGATTAATTATTTTTTTTGTTCTGTAAAATTTAATATTAATGTCTGAAAATTAACAAAATCTTTTTAAATTCAATTATTTATAAAAATTTCAACTTTAAATTTTCCAAAATTATTAATTAAAAATAATTTTTATTTAAAAATCAAAACTAAAAACTATGACAAAATTTTAAATTAGAATAAATTGCTTAAATCAATTTATCTTAGTTCGATTCTGAAATATTCGAAATAAATTTTCTTGATAATATTTTTATAGAATTATTCTCGTTACAGAATTAATAAAATGAATTTAATATCTAATAACCTTAGTTATTTGAAGTAAAATATTTATTAACCAATTCAATTTTGTTAAAAGAAAAAAATCGACTAAAACGATTTTTTTTGTGCCTTAAAGACGATCTGAGGTCTGAAAATGTTTTATGTAATTGAATTTTTGAAAAACTTGATTAAAGTTATTAGAAATAATTAATTTAAATAGAAATTGAAGTTAAAAATTTGAGAAATATTATCCAAATAATTTTTGCAACTAATTGAATTTCAGAAGATTTTTAATTAAAACTTTCGTAAATTAGAATTTCGATATTTTATAAGCTTGATAGAATAATTAAACTTTGGAGAATTTTGAATTGGACATTTTTTTAAATAATTGAATTTTCGAAAATCTTTATTAAAATTATTAAAATTAAATTTTTCAATTTTACAAAATAAAAAAAAAATTGAAAAATTCTATAATAGAAAAACTAGTTCAGAACATTTTACTATAAAGATTAAAATTTTGTTTAAGCATAGAACCAAAAAAATTGTGATTTTTGTACCATATTAGTCCCGTTTGAGTGGTAGGTACAACTTTAGATAAAATATGATGTAATAATACATTTTTTTCTTCTTTTAACTAACAGAACCAGATTGCAGTTTATGGAAATATGTAACATATTTAGTGTCAGTTAAAGAACAAGATTTTAATATACACAATAGCACTATTTCTGAGGTAAAAATAATTGTAAATATTCGATCTTTTCTTGAGAAAGTTAGAGCAATTTCACATTTAGAATCATCGCCACTACTTCCATTTATATTACAACCAAAAATGCAATTTACAACACAAAAACCATTGGCATCGGATTTTTTCAATAAAACTGATTTAGTCTATCAAGACACACTCGATAATCAACAATTGAAAGTGGTTGCAAAAGTAATGAATTCATATTTGAATAATGAACCCGATGTATGCCTCGTTCAAGGATCTGCTGGCACTGGAAAATCAAATGCTATTGTCAATATTATTTTTCAACTTTTTGCCGCACTTAGGACTGAAGAAGAAAAAGCAAATTTTCGACTTTTGGTCTGTGCAGCGTCTGACGCTGATATTGATTGGCTTTTAACTCAAGTTAGTAAAGGAATTGAAGAATTACAACTGGAGAAGGAAGGTGAGAATATTTTTTAATTTACTTCATTTTTCGAAACATATGAATATTCTCAACATTGAATTTATTAGAATTTTTGAGGTGTTCAATTAAAAATTATCGAATTTATATTTAATCAAATTTAATTTCTATTTATCCGAATATTCATTTAACAGTATTTTATTCAACTGAATTAATTTTTCACAAAATTCTTACTAAACAGAACTCTTATTTAACCGAATTTTCATTCAAGAGAATTTTCATTCGAACAAATAATTATTTAACATTTCTAATTAGGCAAATTTACAAATGATATAATTTTCTTTTTAATCAAATTGTCTTTTTCAAAGAACTTTTTTAAAAAAAAGATTTGGGCGAAAATTTTAAAGTGGATCAATCAGAAATATCAACAAAATTGTGAATGATCAATTTTAAAATTGTTTTCATTAACAAATTTTTTTTTCAAATAATTCAATTTTCAAAGATTTTATTCAAAATTCTTTTTAAAAAAATTAAGTCCTTTAAATCAGGCTTCACAGCATAAAATTTACTAAAAAAAAAAGGGAATAGGGGAAATTTTATTTGAAAAAAAGGGAAAAATAGGGTAAAATCTAAATGTATATTTTCCTTAACCAAAATGCTTTAAAGTTATTTTAAATTACACTACCGGTGAAAATTTTGAGACCATCCATTTTCTTGATGAATAAAAAACATCTTAAAACATAGAAAGTATGGAAACCAACTGAAGCATTCATAAGCTCTCAGTCCGGGGATTATTAATATATTATGTAATTTCTTATTCTTATTTAATTAAATTTACGTGATACATCGATTCTGAGAAGCAAATGAGTTCAAACATGTGGTCGATAAATGGTAAACATAAATGTTTAGGGAAGTATCACCCACATTCTATTATCTTTAATACAAAAGAAACAATGGTATTGTCAAAATTTAAAGGGACATTATATTCTTAATTTCTATTATTCAATATAATGAGACACGTGCTAACTATATTACCAGATAAGATTGTAAACACGTAGTAAAATTTATGAATGGAAATACGCTAGTATTTATCTTATTCTTTTTTTTTTGCTTTACCAAATTCTATATCTATATTTTTATATTCTTCTCTTTTATTTTTAAGTTATTTGTCGCTTTTCAAACTAAATTAGAGGAATCTTTCCAATAATTATTTAGTTTTTTTAGCTTTTGTTATTAACTTTTAAAATTCTTTTACTTGTTTAAACAATTGACTGTTTATTGTTTCAAAGAATTTTATGCTAAAGAAAATAATAATAAATAATAAATAAAGAATTAATTATTTTTATTTAAATTCTGAAAATAACAATCAATCTGATAATATTGCTGCTTTGTTTATAAAAACGACTGTGGGTCTTTCCTTATTACTTCTCTCAATTCTGAATAGAATAAAATTTACTTGGATTTAATTTAATATTTATAAACAAATAAAAATAAATATTAACACACCTTGGTTTAGTGATTATATCACTTGTTAATGAAGTTTGTATATTGGTTTTATAGCTTTGAAAAATCTACAAAAAAAATATGAAATAAATTATTTAAAGATATTATAAACTTTACCTAACAAAACTTTTAGGGTTAGTTTCTCCTAACTCTATTTTTAAATTTTCTATTGTTGGTATAAAAAGATTAAACTTTAATGACCTATCATAATTCAACAATATATTGTCAAACTATGACGTATACATTCAATTTCAATGGATTTATCACTGAAAAACCCTACTAGATAATTAATTTAAATAAATTAATTATATCCTATTCTAGCTATTTCTTTGGGTTGTCAGGGTCATCTCTATAGTTTAATCTTTCAAATTGTCATGTGGATCGCCTATTGCAATGCACATGGCATATAAGAATATTAAACAAGAATTACGATTTAATCTTTGATACCACTCTTGGACAATCAATAGTGTTGGTAGAGATCGTTAGAAAGCCCCTGACCATTGATTTTCCGTGGCTTGACTTAGAAGAATTGTTTGTTGATATTGTTGTTGTTTTGTTAAATAATAATTTATTTGATTGAAGATTTGGAAAGTCAGTTGTGTTGGTAGAAATCTTTCGAAAGCCCCTGACAATAGACTTTCCTCCTCGACAATTGTTAATTGTTAATTTGAGAAGAACCAATCGTATTGGTAGAAATCGTTAGAGAGCCCCTAACAATTGGTCTCTCAAATATAACAATTCAAAATAAATTTTATTTTTAATTACGATTTAATCTTTGAAATCTTTCTCGCCCAGAGATGCAGATCGCTTAGGTAGAGATCGTTAGAAAGCCCCCAACAATCTGCAACTCTCAAGTTTGAAAGACTTGACTTTGTAGATTTGTTACTCTGAAATTTCCTTATATTAAAATATAAAAGAAAGCTCTTACCAGTATAAACTGTTCAGATCAAAAGAGACAGAAACGTGCATTTACTCGGCTTATATAGTTGCGTCCCTACCCTTAATTTTCTGGGGTAAGTAAAATTCAAAATGTGCAAGTGTGTGAGTAAGGAATTTCAAATTGATTGAGCGAAAATCCGCGAGTTTCCTTCACCACTTTACGCAAGGCGCTTCTCCCATGTATTTCTTACCGCCAATTTCTCCTTCTATTTGGATTTTTCGCGGCGTCTATTTTCGAATAGCCAATTACATTTAAATTATTTTCAAAGGACAGAGATATTTTTCTCTCTCTAATTCCGTTTCTAACGTTCGCCAAGAACAATGCCATTGTCTACCTGTCAATCATTTTTCTCTAACTGATTTTCATTTTCTAAAAACTTTAATTTCTCAAAAAATAATAATTCTAAAATTATTTAACTTTTACCATTAATTTTTAAATAATTTTTACTTTAATGCAACATAAAATTTTATTCAATTATTATTAATTTCAGCAATTTATAAAATAATTTTTATTATTTTATTTTCCAAATAATTTAAAGAAAAAATATAAAATAAATTTATTCTTTAAATAATAATCCATATAAATTATTTATTTATAAAAAAGAAACTTTAAATTTAAATTAAATTAATAATTCTCTTAATTCGTATTTATATCTACCTTCTCTTTCTATTATTTTTCCTGTTTATGTTTTCATTGTGTAATCTAAAGATATCTTCTCTCTCTTTCTATTATTTTCAGAAATTCAATTTATCTAGTTTTAATTTCATTACTTTGTATAATTTAATTTTTAATATTTATTCATTCATAGTTTTTAAACAATTTATAATTATTTTGTAATAAAATTTTTGACTATTGAAATACCAGTTCACAACATTTTTTTCCAAATTTTTTAAAAGATGATAAATTCATAGAGAAAAGTAAGAATTAAAGGAGAGATTTTCCCTAGTATAGTAATTAATTTTTTTTTTAATATCATTTTTAATGTTTTATACAAATCTGATTAATTTAAATTAAATTTATTAAATTAAATTTTAGAATTAATTTTCTCTTTAAAAAAAGAATTCCAATTTTCCTAATTCAGGCCTCGGATTGACTTTAGAAAGAGAAAAAAGTCGTTTTAGTCGATTTTCAATACAACAAAAATCGAATAAGTCGATATTTTTTATTTTTAATAAATTTTATTAGTTAATAAATATTTCATTATTATTTACATTAATTATTAGAAATTAAATAAATTTTTTCTAATTCTATAATAAGAATGTTTCACAGGAACATTTCCATCAACTTTTTTTGTTAAACTTCAGAATTAAACTATGACAAATTTTCAAGATTTCAATTAAGTAGGACAAATTTTGAAAAATAATGATTTAAATTTACTTTAAAGGAAAAAAAATTCCAAGTCATTGTACAAATTATTCGAATTCAGAATTTTAGCAAATGTTTTAAATAATTAAATTTTTGAAAGATATTGATTAAAATATTATTGAAAAAAATTAATTTATTAATTGAAATTGTTATCAATAATTTGAATTGCTGAAAATTATTGACAAAATTTTAAACAGTAATTGAATTTTAAAGAATTTTTAATAAAAAAATTTGAATTTTGAAAAATTGAATTAAAATAATTGAAATAATTAATTTAGCGAAGAATTTAAAACAAAAAATTTTCGAAGTAATCGATTTTGGATTATTGCAAAGTTCAGAAGATAATTGAATTTAAAAAAAAAATTAATTCAGAAATGTATTTATTATTGGAATTTTTGAAGACTTTGATTAAAGTTATCAGAAAAAATTAATTCAACAAATAATTTAAGTTAAAAATTTGAAATAGGGTCAGCCTCAGATCCTCTTCAAGAGATTCTAAGTATTATCCCATTTTTCATTTGTTAATTAGCAACAAAAAAACAAAGATAACGAGTATTGCAAAAAAGATTGAAAATCAAAGATGACACTCTTTTCAGTATTTTGTCTCGTATTTGAAGAAAAAGAAGCTAAAAATTCATTTTATTATTTATAATTGTTTGTTATGAATACTAGAACAGAAGCTATTTTTGATTTTTGCCTTCTGTAAAATTTTATTAATAATATCAGACCGTTCGTATTTACCCCGGAAAATTGGAAAACCGGGGTAAATCCGAACGGTATTTTCAATAATTTTGTTTTTATTTGATTACACTATTATTTTAACATTATAAAAGTACATAGAAAAAAGTTTTTCTTTCTATATGTATCCTCGTTAGTAATTAATAAGCAGAAACTTAATCTCTGTTCTCTCGAAGGAGTGTTCCACTTTTTTTTGCCAAATGGTTTGTTGATAAAAGTTTTTCAGGATCTTAATAAAATTTGGTATTCTAGGGTTTTTGGGGTCGCTGATTACCCATTTAAAGTCAGTTTTTCAAAATTCAAAATGGCGGACGAGAATTAAAAAATTCATTGGATTCGCTCGAAAATTGTTACTTGGGGGGTTTCAGGGTCGCTGATTACGAATTTGGAGTTAGCAAATTTGATCATTTTTAAAAATAACTTTTAGGAAAGTCCGCCATTTTGAATTTAAAAAATTTGACTTTTATTTTTGTATTTACATTCAATCACTCCAAAATACTTTCTGTACCAAGTTTTGCAAAAATCCGTTATGATTTGATAAAGTTAGTGAAGGTTTTAATTGTGTAATGCATTTTAATTTTTAACCTGTTTGATTTTTGTATTTATATATGATGCATTATTACATAATAGGTTTATTATCGTATTTTTTTGAGTTTTTATGTAAGTTTAACAATTGCAATACTTTAAATTTATTTTCCCTAAGATTTTTCTGAAATACAGTGGCGTTCGTATTTACCCCGGTATTTTAGGAAAGTTGCAAAGTATCGAGGTAAATACGAACGCTAAGTTTCCTGCGATTGTAATTTATCAAAAATTTTGGCTACCCCATAAAATTGTTCTATGGAAGTAAAGTAACAACTTCATGCATCAGAATACCGGAAGTATTGTCTTTTAAAAGAAAAAACTTATGTTATTGTTGAAACTTACTAAAAGCGTTCGGATTTACCCCGGCTGACCCTAATTAAAAATTGTTAAAATAGTTGCAATCACAATTGTTGAAAACAATAATTGAATTTCAGGAGATTTTTAATCAAAATTTTCATAAATTTAAATTGCTGAATATTTTTTTATAAGATTGAGACTATAATTGAATTTTAGAAAAATTTGTATTCAGAAAGTGTTTTAAATAATAAAATTTTCAGAAAAAATTTTTTATAAAAATATATTTTGTTGAAAAAAATCGAAAAAGTAATATTTTTAAAAAATAAGTCGAAATAGTCGCATTCATTGAAAAAAGTCAAAAAATGTCGTGCAATTCGAGGCTTGTAATTTTTTTGGTTAAAATTTGGATTTTTATGAAATATCACATTTTTCTATAAAATAGAGGAAATGAGTCAAAAAAAGGGAAAATTTTTTTAAATAAAGGAACAATAGTGGAAATACTGTGAAGCCTGTTAAATCTTAAAATTATAAAAATGTAATATTTAATGTCAATTTCTTGTATTTATTAAATTAAGATAAACAACAATTTTTCAAAAAATCATTTTAAAAAATGGCTAAAAAATATTTTTTATTAAAAATCGTAAAATAAAATTTTTTGATTTAAAAAGAAAATTGTTTTGTGTAAATTTTCAAAAGAAGAGTATAATTTTATAGGTGTTTATTCAAAAATACGAAAAAATTGCATAAAATTATTGTTTAATTTAATACTTTTCAACTGCTATTGTATTTCGTTACCCGTCATAGTCCATACATATCGGACTCTGGGAAATTGTGTAAATAAATAAATAAAATTGCCAAATAGTCCTTTTTTGGGTTAAAATTGCAAAAACATGTTGAAACGGTAAAATATATAAGATTTTCTAAAGGAATATTAAAAAGGATTCTGATTTTTTTTTTTGAAAATAAGTGTAAATAAATTTTTCGGTGTCGGTGACGCTATTGGAAATATGTTAGATATCACGTTTGTATTTTTCGATATTGTGGGATTTTTTTATCGTCACTGAATTAAACCACGCCCCAATTGTCAATTCTCAATTACAGTGAGTCTTAAACCATAATATTCGTCAACGTTCATTTCACGTTGAAAAAACAAGTTCTCGTCCGATCACTTAAGTTAAACAACGTTGAGCGCGGTTAGTACTTGGATGGGTGACCGCTTGGGAATACCGCGTAATGTTGACATTTTTTTTTCTTTTCCTTCTTTTAAAGTTTTTTATTTTTATTAAATAAAAAATTTTTAAATTTCTCATTAATTATTTTTTACACAATGCAATTTCGCATTTGATTGAAAATTAAAAAAAAAGAATTCAAAATCAGACAAAAAGTATGATTTTATTTAATTAGATTTGAATTCTCGCTCTTAATTTTATATATTTTTATATAATTTGCATTATTTGTTAATTGCAAATTAACTTGGAAATAAACTCACAGATTTTTAGTTGTTTAAATTTTTTTTTCAACATCTTATGTTTTATTTTAATGAAATTAAAATTTACAGTAATTAGAATGGTTGTAATTGGTCCTGACGAGGGAAAACGTGAACGAACAAAAGAATCGAGTCTAAGTCGATTTGCTAAACATCATGTTGAATCAGATGTTCATAAATATCAGGAATCAATGGGTCACAAGTCCTTACAGGAACAGGTATGTTTAAAAAAAAAAATTAAGACATAAAAAATAATTTAAATAATTTTGAATAAAAATGAAAAAGATTTAATGAATAATTCAAAAAAATTGAACATTCTTCTAGGCAATATTTATTGAAGAACAAGTTAAAAATTTAAGGGTAAGATTCGAAGAAAAAAGTTGTTCGAGTGTATATTTACAAATGAGACTTCTCAATAAGTACTATCATATTGGAAAAAGTGGCAGAATGGTAATTTGTTTTTATTAAGAGTAAAAAAAAAATCACTCTTGAAAGAAATTTATAATTTTTCTTTTCTTCTCTTTATTCAAAGGTGAAAAATATGACTCCTATGGAAAAAAAAGAATTGATTGACGATGCGGAAATTACATTTTTAGCTGGGGCAAATTTAATTTTTTCAACTATTCAAAATCTGTCTGGCACAGTAATGGAAAATTTTCAGTAATTATTGAAAAATACTTTTTTCCTTTTTTTTTTACTAAAAATTAAAAATTTACACAAGAATGTGAAAAATAAAATAATTGGTTTTTTCATTTTTTCTAGGAGAAATTATAATATTCCTGTTTGTATTGTTGATGAAGCAGCACAAATTCAAGAATTAGATACTTTAAAAGTTGTTGCATTCAAAGGAAATACGTTAGTATTAATGGGTGATAAGTATAAATTTCCGGCATTAGACATTCCCTTGGTAAGTTTTCAGTATTGAATAATAATAATAATAATAATAATCAGGGTTGATACAAAAATATTATTTTGTTTTTCCCTGATTTCCAGTCAAAATTAAAATTTTTTTCCTGATTATTGTCTAAAGTTTTTCAAAAAAAATTCACAAATTCAAAATGAAAGTTTCAATTAATAATCTCCTGAAATTCAATTATTATTTCTCAAAATTTTAACACCTAAAATAAAATTATTTCTAAATTTTATATCTAAAATTGAAATTGTTGAATAATTTAATTTTAATAATTTTAATCACGATTTTTTTTTTTGTGTAATTCAATTATTTAAAACATTTTCCAATTAAAAATTCTCCAAAGTATAATTATTGTTTAAAGCTTATAAAATATCTACAGAAATTCTAATTTATGAAAATTTTAATTAAAAATCTCCTATAATTCAATTAGTTGCAAAAATTTTAACTCTTACTCTTCCAAAATTTAATTATTTCCCAAATTTTTAACTTTAATTTCTTTTACAATTAATTATTTCCAATAACTTTATTCAAGTTTTTGCAAAAAATACATAATACCATTTTTAATTATTAATTCTTTAAAATTAAATTTTTTGTTTATATAATTTTTAAAAAATTCCAATAATTCAAGTTTATTAAAATTTTAATTTAAAATTTCAAAAATCGTAAATTCAATTTTTTAAAACATTTTTCAATTGAAAATTCTCTGAAAATTTCTATAATTCAATTATTTCTAAAAATTTTATTTAAAATTCTTTGCTAAATTAATTTTTATAATTATTTTAATAAATTTTTTCGACAATTCAGGGAAATAAAAGTTTTTTTAATTAAAAATACTCTAAAATTCTATTATTCTTTAAAGTTAGTGAAAACAATAATTTTTACCAATTAAAATTTATGAAAGTTTTTATTTAAAATCTTCGGAAATTTAATTATTATTTCTCAAATTTTTAACTCGAACTCTTCTAAGTTCAATTAATAATTGAATAATTAAGTGAATTGTTCATTCAATTAAACATTTTTTTCTCAAATTTTTATCTTTATAATAATTTGTTTAATTAATTATTTCAACAGTTTTAATATCTAATTTTTTAAATATTAAATTATTTAAATCGTTTTTTAATTAATGTTTATACAACAAAATTATAATATTTAAAATCTCAAAAAATAAAATTAAGGGAATGGTTGTTAAAATAAAACAGAAAGACTTGGAGAGACATGTATCAGTTAAAATAAAAATATCTTGAAAAACAAAAATTATGGAAAAGCTTAAATTTGAGATATTTATGTATTAAGGCTCCGAACATTCTGGTAGTAAAAGTTGAGAACAAATTTTATAGTCCAAGATGTTACATTGGATGTTGTTTCTTGGTGATAGTGGGGATACCCTTGATATAACGGATTACTAGATCTGTTTCTCTGCTCTTGGTTGATTATTTCTAAAAATCTTAACAGTAACTCCATAAAAATTCAATTATTTAAACTTTTCTGATTTTACGTGTTTTTTTTAATAGTAATCTTATGACAAATCAAATTTTGACAATTCTTTTTCTCCTTTTTGCCAAAGTTGTATAATTGTGTTTCCAAATTTCGGAATAAGTTTCTTTAAAATTCCAAATTCGAAAATTCAATTCACGAAGCTCAAGTACACAACGTTTACCAACGAAATTTTTTTTAAAGTTGTATATTCATTCAAAAATTCTATACAAATACAAAAAATTTATGATGAGAAAAAAAATGCGCCAGGAAATTTCGTACAAAATAGTGATTTGAAAAAAATATTTATTTTTCAAAATTAATTTTTAAGGTACCAGGGGCAAACGAATACCTATTAAATATTAATTATAAAAACACAGGCCTCGAATCAACTTAAAGACACAAAAAGTCGTTTTAGTTGATTTTTATTCCAAAAAAAAGTGGATTTGTTTTTTATTTTAACAAAAATATTTTACAGATTTTTAAATAAAAAAATTTTTTTTTAATAATAATCCTTGCCGAAGGATGTAAAGTTGAAAATTTTTAGAAATAATTGAATTTTAAAAGATTTTGTTAATTTTCAGACAATAATTAAATTTTACGAAACTAAAAATAATTTATCAAATAATTTCAGATAACATTTTTTAAATGTAATTGAATTTTCAAAGATTTACAATTGAGATTTTTAAAATTAATTGAACTTCAAGTGATTGTTAATTAACAATTTTTGATGATTTCACTAAAAATTTATTAGAAAATGCGGACAAAATACAATAATTTGAAAATCATTTTTAATTGAAAAATGGTTTCAGATAGTTGAATTTTCAAAGAATAATATTAAAATAGTTAAAAATAATTAAATTTCCTTAGAGTTATAATTGAAATTATTAAATTTCAAAAAAAAAATTTTTCGATGGAAAATTTTAGAAATAATAAAATTTTAGATGCCCGTGTGGAAAAGTGATGTGGGCCCCCAGCGGGGGCCCTTATGGATCGCCCTCATGCCATGAGGGCCGCATATGGATGATCCATAGGGGCCCCTCATGGAAACGACATGCTCATCGATGAGGGCGCCCGCATGGGCGATCCATGAGGGTGCCCCTACGGGCGCCCTTATGGGCCCTCACGTTTGCCCTCATCTTGCCCTCAAGTTTGCCATAAAGTTTTTTAATCAATAATATTAATAATAAAAGTTAATTAATAATAAATAAGCTTAAGTTATGAATAAATAACATATTTATTTAATAATTATTCAATTTTAAATTAAATTCTTACTCAAATTGAATTTATTAATTAACGTTCTAATTAATTAACTGTCGGATATAATTAAAAGTAATAATAAATTAATTAATTAAAAAATAAAAAAATATGTAATTTATGCATACTATTAACCGATATTTTCATTTTTCAATTAATTCATACATAGAATTAATGATTAAACGCAAACCTGAGAAATAAATAAATCTAACGCATGGGGGGAATCGAACCTACGACCTACGGACTATGAGTCTAACGCTTTACCAACTACGCTACGCACGCTACTTCAAAACGAATGCTAACTTCTTGATGCTATTTAAACTTGAAAAATACCTAACAAAGAAAAGTGCTTAACATCATTTAGTTAAAGTTAAGATATTAAATTATATTTTCCAATCAAATGCAATTTATAAAATATAATTAATTATATGCTTTATGATTATTATCATGAATCATCTCAGGTGAATTTTCAAAAAAAATGTAAATATATTTTTATTAAAAACGCGTTTTTCGTTGTTTTGAATCATTGGAAACATTCATTTTTTGTTGATAAAAAAATATTTGATTTTTGGACTTAGAAAATTTTGCTAATCGATCATGAGGGCGATCCATGCGGGCCCCTACGGTGGCCCTCATCTATTTTGCCATAAGTGTGAGTGTTATTTTCAAAAAAGTGTAAATATATTTTTATTAAAAACGCGTTTTTCGTTGTTCTGAATCATTATAAACATTAATGTTTTGGTGATAAAAAAATATTTGATTTTTGGACTTAGAAAATTTTGCTAATCGATCATGAGGGCGATCCATGCGGGCCCCTACGGTGGCCCTCATCTATTTTGCCATAAGTGTGAGTGTTATTTTCAAAAAAGTGTAAATATATTTTTATTAAAAACGCGTTTTTCGTTGTTCTGAATCATTATAAACATTAATGTTTTGGTGATAAAAAAATATTTGATTTTTGGACTTAGAAAATTTTGCTAATCGATCATGAGGGCGATCCATGCGGGCCCCTACGGTGGCCCTCATCTATTTTGCCATAAGTGTGAGTGTTATTTTCAAAAAAAGTGTAAATATATTTTTATTAAAAACGCGTTTTTCGTTGTTCTGAATCATTATAAACATTAATTTTTTGGTGATAAAAAAATATTTGATTTTTGGACTTAGAAAATTTTGTTAATCGATCATGAGGGCGATCCATGCGGGGCCCCTACGGTGCCCCTCATGGATTCGCCATATGGATCAGCCCTCATGGGCCCCCGCCGGGGGCCCCGAACTCTTGAGGGCAAGATCGTGGCTTTTTCCACACGGGTGCTTTTAAATTCAAATTATTGAAAATTCAATTAATTTTGAATTCAAATTTTTGAGAATAATGAAATTTTATTTGATTTTAAATTTGGAAAATAATTGAATTTCAGTTCATTTTGAATTGAAAATTTTGGAAAATAATTGAATTTTAATTGAAATTTTGGATAATAATTTAATTTAAGTTCATTTTTGATTGAAAATTTGGATAATTAATTTTGAATAGAAATTTTAGAAAATAATTGGATTTTATTTCATTTTAAATTAAAAACTTGGTAAATAATTAAATTTTAAATTGAAAATTTTGGATAATTATTGAATTTTAATTGATTTTGAATTAAAATTTCGGGTAATAATTGAATTTAAGTTTATTTTGAATTGAAATTTTTAAAAAATAATTCAATTTTATTGTGATATTTTTTTTTAAATTATAAACAATTATTAAATTTCATAAAAATTTAAATTGAAAAATAATTTTGATATAATTGAATTTCTGATGTATTTCATTAAAATTTTTAAAAATAATTAATTTAGTCAAGAATCATTTTAGTTCAAAATTTATTAAATAATTGAATAGAAGAAGATCTGAAGAAGATATAAATTTTATACTAAAAAAATGTATTTTATTTACATTTTTTTTCAAATTTAAAAAAAAATGTCGCTTTTTATTAAAATAAGTCGATAAAAGTCGTATTTTTGAAAAAAGTCGGAAAAAGTCGTATAATTGAGGCCTATAAACATATAATTTTCATTATTATCATTTAATATGTAATAATATTCTAATAAATTAAATTATTTTTGATAATATTAATCTTTAATTTCTTTATAACAAACAATTAAATACTCAATTTGGCGCACGTTTAACTTTGCTAGTTTGTAAAATAATTTAATTAATTTAAATTTATAAAAGTTTTAATTGAAAATCTCCTAAAATTCAATTATTTATAAAAATTTTAAATCAAACTTTTCCAATTTTAATTATTTTTAAAATTTTAATTAAAAATCTTCTGAAATTCAATTATTTCACAAATTTGCATTTAAAATTTTTTTTTTTCAATAATATTTTAATGAAATTCTTGGAAAATTTAATTATTTAAAACATTTTCCAAAATTCTGAATTCGAAAAATGTTCGTAAATCAGAGTTGAAAAATTTTCTTTTTTTGTTAATGTAACTAAATTATTTTTCAAAATTTGTTCTAAAACTGAATTGAAATATTGAATATTTGTCTCAGTTTAATTCGGGTGGTTTAAAAAGACAAATTATTGAAAATATTTATGTGAAACATTCTTTATTAAGGAATTAATAAATTTTATTTAATTTCTAATAATAAATTGTTAATAATAATAGAAATAATTAATTATTATTATATTATTATTATTTCTATCAATAAATAGAAGCAAAAGTTTTAATTGAAAATAAATTGAAATAATAAAATTAAAATAATTGAAATTTCCTGATACATGGAAACACTGTATAATTATTTGTAAAACAAAAAGCAATTAATAATAATTATTAATTTTGCATTAAAAAAAGAACATTTTTTTCCAAAATGAAAAATTAAAGGCATTCGTGAAATATTATTATTATTATGTGAAATTTTAATTTTAATTGCAGCGTCTAAAAAGATGTGGATGGGAAAATTCTTTATTTCATCGCCTATTAAGTAACTGTGATTATTTACATCCCGTAATAAATTTAAAAACACAGTACAGAATAACACCCATAATAGAACGATGGTTAATAAATAGTCAAATTTTTAAATTAAATACATTAAAAAATACAGTGGAGGAGAAAATAAAATTTCCATTGAATCCAATTTCGGTTTTTAATTTAAATCACACTGAAGATTTGGCCATGGACGAGGCAACTTTCGCTGCAACTTTAATGCATTGTATTGCACATTATGGTGATTTGCGAAGATTGTCTAGAATTATTTCTATTGCAATAATTATTTGTGACGCTGATGTTCAAGAACTTGTCGAGAGAGAAATTGAAAATAAGTGAGAATTCTTTTTTTTTGTTTTGTTTTTTTTTTTGCCTCTGAAGTTTAAAATTTTATTTTTTTTTAGATTAGAGAATGTTTTACCTGGCAAAAGGCAACTTATGAAAATTGAAGTGGGAACTATTGATAAGTTTCAAAATTATGAAGCAGATATTGTTCTTGCATCTTGTGTGAGAAATAAAAATCTTGTTAGTTATGTAGGAATGCAAAGATTGTATTCAACTGTAACAAGAGCAAAACATTGTTTAATTATTTTTGGTCGATTTGCAAGAATTGGAAAGTATAAGGTAAATTAATTTTTAAATTCATCTTTTTTTATTTAGAAAAGTGATTATTATTATTATTATTATTTATTATGAATATTATTAATTGAACTTTATTTCAGCAATAAATAAATTAAAAAATTTCAAAAGTAATTTAAATGAAAATTTATAGAATAGTAATCATTGAAAGAAAAAAACTAGAGTTTAAAATAAATTATATTTTTATTTTAGGGTTAAATAAAAATTAGCTAAAGTAGATATATGAATAAAGTAAAAAAAAAGATAAGTAGAAATTTTATTAATAAAAAACAATTTACAAACATGTAAACATAAAAATTTTCTTGATCGGTATTTTTTTTGGAAATCAGATAGAATCATCAATTCCGTGTCCATATAATAGTTCTTCCGCAGATGAAGCTGCTTCATTTTCATCACATCATCTTAAAATTTTGTAGACATATTTCTAACTACATATTATATACTCTAAGAAAATGCAAGAAAAAAAGAATCAATTTTTTGAAAGTTACAACTGCGAGTGCCCCGTTAATCCATTAACGACCGCCAGGACGAAAAATTTACCTTCACTTTGCAGCTGTTATTATATATGAAAAAATAATTCAAAAAATTCAGGGTAGCCCATTTCTAACGTAAAATTTATCGCTCTTTTCGATTCTGAAGTCCAAATTTAATTATAATTAAATCCTTAATATTTATAACAATTTTATTGCAAAAAAACATGATTTTCTGGAAATAAATTTTTATTCAAAAAATATTTTGACATGAAAAACGACAGTTAATTTGCTCCGATAACCAAAATATCGCGTCCTCGAATACCCAGCTACAAAACTATGTAGTTGTGAATTTCAAAATTTAAGATGGCGGACGACAAAATGGCGATTTTCCACTAAAAAAGATTTAAAAAATACTATTTTGCAAAAAATAATATATTGATGAATTATTTTTATTTCTGCACTATATACTTATGTTTTTGGGTCACTAAACACGAATACGGTATAAGTTTTCAAAAATTCAAAATGGCAGATCCAATATGGCGGACAATTTTTTCAAAAACTCAATGGATTTATCTGAAATTTGTTACTCGGGGGATTTTGGGGTCGCCGGTTACGAATCTGACGTTACTTTTCAATAATTCAAAATGGCGGATCCAATATGGCGGACAATTATTTCAAAAACTCAATGGATTTATCTGAAATTTGTTACTCGGGGGTTTTTGGGGTCGCCGGTTACGAATCTGAAGTTACTTTTCAATAATTCAATATGGCGGATCCGAAATAGCCTACAAATTTTAAAATTCACCGAATTTGCTTGAAAATCAATATACTTATTGAGTTTTTGGGGTCGTTGATTTCGAATTACAGTAATAAAATAGTAGATCAGTAATAAAAAATGTGTTCGATTTCAATATAAAGTGAAGTAATTCGAAATCAACGACCCCAAAAACTCAATAAGTATTGATTTTCAAGCAAATTCGGTGAATTTAAAAATTTGTAGGCTATTTCAAATCCGCCATGTTGAATTATTGAAAAGTAACTTCAGATTCGTAACCGGCGACTCCAAAAACCCCCGAGTAACAAATTTCAGATAAATCCATTGAGTTTTTGAAAAAATTGTCCGCCATTTTGAATTATTGAAAACTTATACCGTATTCGTGTTTAGTGACCCAAAAACATAAGTATATAGTGCAGAAATAAAAATAATTAATCAATATATTACTTTTTGCAAAATAGTATTTTTTAAATCTTTTTTAGTGGAAAATCGCCATTTTGTCGTCCGCCATCTTAAATTTTGAAATTCACAACTACATAGTTTTGTAGCTGGGTATTCGAGGACGCGATATTTTGGTTATCGGAGCAAATTAACTGTCCTTTTCCATGTCAAAATATTTTTTTAATAAAAATTTTTTTGCAGAAAATCATGTTTTTTTTGCAATAAAATTGTTATAAATATTAAGGTTTTAATTATAATTAAATTTGGACTTCAGAATCGAAAAGAGCGATAAATTTTACGTTAGAAATGGGCTATCCTGTATTTTTTGAATTATTTTTTCATATAAAATAACAGCTGCTAAGTGAAGGTAAATTTTTCGTCCTGGCGGTTGTTAATGGGTTAATGCAAAAAAATGTGTAAAATGGAGTTACTAAAGATTTGGAATTTTTATTATTTTTCAGGGCGACTGCGAATGGCACGATTTAATCGATAATACGAAAAATATCGCTCACATCAGTGTTTATGAAGAAAAAGAACAATTGAGAAGATACCTTCTTAAATAAATAAGTTTAGTTTAAATACCAAGAATTATTTCATTTTTTAAGTATTATTTATATATATATATTTTTTTTTCTCCCCGAAGAAATTGTACTTACGCGACACCTAAAAGCCAATATAATTGTTAATAACATACGGTTCTTTTTATGTAAATATAGATTTTAAGTATAGAAAGTCTATATATAGAAATATATGTTATATATTTCCGATACAGTGAGATTAATTTTTACGATGTTCGCTTTTAATAATATTTTAGAAAGAGAAAAAATGTAGAAACTGAAACCAATGTCTGCATTTGATATAAAAAATAAATTTTTGTTTTTTTTCGGAATAAATACTTAATAAATACTAAAGTTTTTCTATATTACTTTAGAAGTTATTTATTCGATCTCAGTTTTGTCTAATAAGTACTTTATATTTTGTTAAAATTAAAATTAAGTATATTAACATTAATTTATATTTATTCGCAGTTATAATAAGTATATAATTGTAATTTCAGATGTTAAGTTTTCAGTATTTCTATTGTTCTTTCTGTGATTATTCGTTTCTCTCTAAATAACAATATGTAATTTGTAAAATGTAAATTATTTTATTGTTCACTGATTGTTCAATATTTGGAAATAGTCAAATATTTACAAAAAATTGTGAATATATATATATATTTTTTAATTCAACAAAATAAAATTTGTAAATCTATTCGTCTTTATTTTTTTTAAATTAAGGACTAAATGTACATAATTTGTCCATGAAATTTGACTCTTGTTTTTAATGATAAAAGATAAAGAAAAAAAAATTTGCAATATCCATTTCTTATAGTTTAAGAATCGCTCTTTCGAATTCCGCATTGAAAATTAACGTATGTTTATAAATAAACAAATGGCAGGCACTTTTTTAATAAAAAACACGATTTTTTCAAGCTTCAAGGTAGAAGTATTTATTTTATTTTATTTAAAAATGACGGCCGCAAAATGGCGCTTAAATAGATTTTTTTTTTTACAAATTCATAGTAGGGTATACGAAACCCTGAGAACAAAAAAAAGATCAATTTGGCTTGAAAATTGTTACTCGAGGGTTTTTGGGATCGCTGATTACAAATCTGAGGTCAGATTTTCAAAATTCAAAATGGCAGATCCAATATGTCAGACGACTTTTGTAAAATTGATTATATTCACTGTGAAACTTGTTTTAAGGCAAATTGATCATTTTTACAAAAGGCGTCCGCCATATTGGATCCGCCATTTTGAATTTTGAAAATACGAGGTATAATTGAAGGGTAGAATGACAAAAGGGGTCAAGCGCCAATTCACTGTTTTTACAGGAAGTAAAAAAAACATTTTTAAAAATTTTGCAGGTCATTTAAAAAAAAACTGAGAAAACCGTTTCGATATATTAGTATGTTTTAATAAATAAACAACAATTTGTTGAAATAAACCTACATATTAACGATAAAATTAAAAAAAACTGTGGTTCCTTGAGGTTATATCAACTGCGCACATTTTCTTTAAACATTAATTATAAAAAAAATATACAGTTTAAAGAAAAACTGGAAAATTAGTTTCTTTCTATGGAATCGACGAAAAGAATAGAAAAAAAAATTCCTTTAAAAAATTGTTTGTTTTCAAGAAAATTAAGAATTAATTGCTTGCTTTGGAATTGAGCAATACTTTCATCTTTAAATTCAATTGTTCATTTAGTATAACCATAAAAATATTTAAAAATTAATAACAAAATGATTTTAAAATTGTTTAAAATTGAAAATACATTATTATTATTATTAATTTTATTAATTAAAATATTATTAAAATAAAATTAAAATAAAATATTAAAATAAAACCTAAAAAAATAATATTTTTTTTTATTTTGATAATATTATTGACTCCCCACTTTCTTTTGTTTTTCAATCAGGTTGCAATAAAGTAAATTTGAGGCTATTTTATTAATTTAATTTTTATGAAAAACTGATTTAAATACGCAATAAAAAAGGAAATCCTTCTACAGAAATGTGTAAATGAATTTTCTTGATTTTTTTATGCAAAAACCTCATTTTCGATAAATTGGCGCTTGACCCCTTTTGTCATTCTACCCTTCAATTATACCCACAAAAACACAATTTTTTTTACTCAACGACGTGATTAAAATTTAGAATTGAAAAGCGATAAATTAAGAAAAATATTTACGTTTAAAATTTTCTACTTAAAAAATAGTTTATTCAATCGTCACTAAAGAATGTTGTCGTAATTGATATCCTAAAAGCCAATCGCGCGACGCCATTTCTATTTGTTTCCATGAAGGAGGAATTGGTAAATTATTTAATACGGCAATCTCGTAGATTAATTTTCTAGTTCCCACATCGTCTAAACCATGACCTGTATTTGACAAAAAGGACTGTAAATATTTTCTTATCGATGTTTCTTGCTCCTTGTTAAATACATCATTTTCTGGTAAATATGGAATTAAATTTGGCTTCACTGCCTCTAATGTAACAATGATAGGTTGAATTTGTTTGTTCTGTTCCATATTCAATCAATTGCTTATTTATTAGTTGGAAGATCCCTCTGAAATATTAATTTTTCTTTTTAATAGTCATAAAAAAATAATGTGAAGTTCAAAAATAATAAAATTAAAAAGATTTTTAAAACATTTAAAAGAAAAGTTATTAAAATTTTGTAACGTCCTGCTTTATATTTCATTAGATTTTTATCGTTATTTTCTTTTTTATCTTCATTTTTATTTGAAAATTTCATATCGATTCTAAAAAGAAAAATATCTATTTTATCTAAACCATGTCTCTTTTCTTTAATATAAATTGTTTATTTCTTCCTTTTAGAACTGATAATGAAATTTAAAACTATGACTTTTTTTCAAAATGAAAATTTTTTCCCTGACGCAAATGAAAATATTTGAAGTGGTTTTCAATAACAGGCCTCGGATTGTACAACTATTTCCACTTTTTTTCAAATTGAATTATTAAAAAGAATACAGGCCTCGGATTATACGACTTTTTCGACTATTTTCGACTTTTTTTCAATAATACGACTTTTTTCGACTTATTTTAATAAAATGCGACTATTTCGACTTTTTTTTTTACATTTTTTAAACAAATTTTTAAATAAAATATATTTTTTTTTAGTATAAAATGTAGATCTTCTTCAGATCTTCTTTATTTCAATTATTTAACAAATTTTTAACTAAAATTCTTCACTAAATTAATTATTTTTAATAATTTTAATGAAATTCATCACAAATTCAATTATTTCAAATTATTTTTCAATTAAAATTTTTATGAAATTTAACAATTGTTTATAATTTAAAAAAAATATCAAATAAAATTACCTAAAATTTTTAATTCAAAATCAAATAAAGTTCAATTATTTTCAAAAATTTCAATTCAAAATCAACTAAAATTCAAAAATTACCCTAAATTTCAATTCAAAATCAATTAAAAATTCAATAATTATCCAAAATTTCAATTCATAATTAATTATTATCAAAATTTTTAACCATAAATTAACTAAAATTAAATTATTATTCAAAATTTCCATTGAAATTCAATTATTTTCAAAAATTTGAATTTAAAAACTTCTAAAATTTTCAATCGAAAAATTTTTGAAATTTAATAATTTCAATTATAACTCTCCGGTAAATTAATTATTTTTATAATATTCTTTAAAAATTCAACTTTCTGAAACCATTTTGCAATTAAAATTCAATTATTTTCAAAAATTTGAATTTAAAAGCTTCTAAACTTTAATTAATTCTAAAATTTACCTTCGAAAATTTTTTGAAATTTAATAATTTCAATTATAACTCTATGAAAATCTGAAACCATTTTTCAATTAAAAATGGTTTTCAAATTATTGTATTTTTGTTCGCAATTTCTAATAAATTGTTTAGTGTAATCATCAAAAATTGTTAATTAACAATCACTTGAAGTTCAATTAATTTTTTAAAATCTCAATTGTAAATCTTTGAAAATTCAATTACATTTAAAAAATGTTATCTGAAATTATTTGATAAATTATTTTTAGTTTCGTAAAATTTAATTATTGTCTGAAAATTAACAAAATCTTTTAAAATTCAATTATTTCTAAAAATTTCAACTTTACACCCTTCCAAAAGTATTATTATTTTTAAAAAAATTTGATTTAAAAATCTGTAAAATATTTTTATTAAAATAAAAAAAAATCGACTTTTTCGACTTTTTTTTAGAATATAAATCGACTAAAACGACTTTTTTTGTGCCTTTAAGTCGATCCGAGGCCTGAGAATATATTAACTTGAATTATTTGCAAAATCAATTATTTTCAATAATTTCAAAAAAATTCTTCGAAAATTACATATGCTTTAAAACAGTTTTTAATTGAAAATTCACTGAAATTCAATTATTGTCTGAAGCTTTTTAAAAAAATTTCACCAATTCCAAATGAAAGTTTCAATTTATAATTTCTTGAAAATGTCAATTATTATTTCTACAAAATTTAACTCGAACTCTTCTAAAATACAGTTATTTCTAAATTTTCTAACTAAAATTGAAATTGTTGAATAATTTAATTTTAATAATTTTAATAAAGATTTTCGAAAATTCAATTATTTAAAAAAATTTCCAATTCAAAATTCTCCAAAGTTTAATTATTCTATTAAGCTTATAAAATATCTACAAAAATTCTAATTTACGAAAATTTTAATTAAAATCTGAAATTCAATTAGTTAAAAAATTTTTACTATTACTTTTCCAAAATTCAATTATTTTCCCAAATTTTTAACTTTAATTTCTTTTACAATTAATTATTTCTAATAACTTAGTTTAAAATCTTCTGAAATTTAATTACTTCCAAAATAAATTTTAACTCAAACTCTTTCAACTTCAAATTTTTCCAAATTTTTATCTATATAATTGAGCTGAAGAACGTAACGTTAATTGTTTAACGGTTACAAAAACCAATTTATTAAAGTTTGTTCAAATTTTAATCATTACCAATCGAAAGAGCATAAAAAAATGTGTCAGAATCCATTAGTTTTATTCCAAATTTGATGTCGGAAAGATATGAAAAATCAAAATTAATTTAACCTTTCTCAAACGTAAACGATTGCGTTATCGGGTGCTTATTAAATTTTGATTTTTCATATCTTTCCGACATCAAATTTGGAAAAAAACTCATGGATTCTGACACATTTTTTTATGCTCTTTCGATTGGTAATGATTAAAATTTAAACAAACTTTAATAAGCGCCCGATAACGCGATCGTTAACATTTAAGAAAGGTTAAATTAATTTTGATTTTTCATATCTTTCCGACATCAAATTTGGAATAAAACTCATGGATTCTGACACATTTTTTTATGCTCTTTCGATTGGTAATGATTAAAATTTGAACAAACTTTAATAAATTGGTTTTTGTAACCGTTAAACAATTAACGTTATGTTCTTCAGCTCAATTCTATATAATTCTTTTTTTTAATTAATTATTTCAATAGCATTATTTTCAGCAAAATTAAATTATTTAAAATATGTTTCAGTTTAAAATTCTCTAAAATTCAATTATTGTCTGAAATTTGTAAAAAAAAAAATTTAATTAATTTAAATTTATAAAAGTTTCAATTGAAAATCTCCTAAAATTCAATTATTTATAAAAATTTTAAATCAAACTTTTCCAATTTCAATTATTTAAAAAATTTTAATTAAAAATCTTCTGAAATTCAATTATTTCACAAATTTTCATTTAAAATTAATTTTTTTTTTCAATAAATTTTAATGAAATTTTTCGAAAATTTAATTATTTAAAACATTTTTCAAAATTCTGAATTCGAATAATGTGCATAATCAAACTTGAAAATATTTCTTTTTTTTAAGGGTTCCATACTCGGTTCGTAATTCTATTAATATCGGTTTTTTTTAAATCGTTTACCCCCCCCCCCCCTAGCGGCCACACAAATTTATCTGGAGGGCTGAAATTTGGTACACATATGTATTTTCGCGTGTAGATTACAGGAAAAATATAGCGAACTTGATTGGAATTGATTAGAATAGCGTTGTCAAGGAAAAATAAAAAAATGTCGAAAAAAAACGGTTTTATCCCCCTAGCGCACACAATATTCAACTCGGACAGTTCATATTTGGTGTATAAATGTATTTTTGCGTGAAAATTACAGGGAAAAAGATGTGGGCACAATTGGAGTTAATGATTAATTAATTAAAGTAATTCGGAACAATTAATATTTATAATTTAATAAAGCATATATAAATTTACATTTGGCAATTGTTCGTTTTTCTTTTAAAAAATTATGTGAACTTGACATAACCGCTGCAAAGTTTCAAGTTTAAATGAAAATAACTTACAATAATCAGAATTTCCAAACATAAATAATTAAATGAATCCAGATAAATTTGCTAACAGAATCTCATGATTATTTATGTTTTTTATATTAATATAATATTACTATTATATTACTAGCCTTCTAGCAGACGATATATCTACTGGTTACCATGACAACCTGTAGGCTGGCTGGTTGCAGAGCTGTGACCGCTCCTTTATTCTCTAAAGGCCTTTCTTCAATACGATCCTAAGGCTGCAGTCCCATGGCAGCGTTTTGCTTTTTGTCACTAGACCATGAGTGTAAAAGAGATGCAGATATATGTTTGCTATGTTTACACTCAGGGTCTAGTGACAAAACGCAACGCAAAACGCTGCCATGGGACTGCAGCCTCAAGGTGCTTTTATACCTCCAGTATTTTGGTCAAGCATTCGGCTGGATTGAATTTTCACGGCTGTATCACTGAATTTAATTGGCTCTGACTAATATTCCATTTCCACCGTGAAAATTGAATATTTTTAGAGCCAATCAAATTCAGTGATTCTCCGTGAAAATTCAATCCAGCCGATTGCTTGACCAAAATACTGGAGGTATAAAAGCACCTTAAGGGTACGGTCACACATCGATAGATATCGAGACTATCTGTCTTCCTGTCTATAATTAAATATAACGTATAAGAGTGAGGGAAATAACAAATGTTCTTATTTCTCTCACTCTTATACGTTATATTATGGCCTAAGCAGAATAGAAACGTAACCGTAATCGTAATCGCAAACGAAACCGAAAGAATTAGTTAGAGAAGGATAGACATATTGTTTGTCCTTCTCTAACTCGTTATTCCGGTTACGTTTCTATTCTGCTCCGGCCTTTATATTATAGGTAGGTGGCCATGCTATCTATAGGCCAACGCACAATAGCTTCGCGAAAGTCCTTCGCGAACGAGATGCATGAGATAGAAAAGGATACATATATACCTCTGTCCTTTTCTAACTCATGTTTCACGTTCGCGAACGTCTTTTGCGAAGCTATTATGCTTAGGCCTTAACGAGGTGTGACCGTAACCTAAACGAATAGAAACGTAACCGTATCGTAAAGGTGCTTTTAAACCTCCAGTATTTTGGTCAAACAATCGGCTTAATTGGATTTTCACGGTTGTATCACTGAATTTGATTGGCTTTGACAAATATTACATTTTCACCGTGAAAATTGAATTTTGTTAGAGCCAATCAAATTCAGTGATACAACCGTAAAAATTCAATCCAGCCGATTGCTTGACCAAAATACTAGAGGTGTAAAAGCACCTTAAGGCCGTTTACGAATTGACATCGGAATGCAATTCCGTATGGCATTTATGCATATGATGTATTCCACGCCAAAGTAAATGTCCATCTGCAATTGCATTTCCAATTTTTTAGGATTTTTTTTACTTTTAGTACAAATTGAGACTAGCTTCCATGAATATTTTCAATTTTTTTTAGCAAACCGAGAATTTTCATTGACTTTTAATTTTTGAATGCTCATAACTTCCTTAAAAATGCATCAATTTTAAAAGTCTTTTTTTTCAAAATGTGTGTGTTTTTAAACGTACTTTTCAAAAAAAAAATCGAAAATTTTTTAAAACGATATTACTATCAAATTTTTGAGTTTTAATGATAAAAAATCATTTTTCTCATTTGAAGTACAGATCGATTTTTTTCAAAATTTTTTTAAAAAAACTACTTCTTTTTACGAAACTTTCAAGCCTATCCCGATAATGGGCAAACAATTTTTACAATATTTTCGGAATTTTTCAAAAAATTTTGAATTTTTTAAAAATATTTTTGGTTTTTTTTTATACTACGTACTTTTATGTATTTTGATACGCTGATTACGAAAATCATAGTGACAATACCCGAAAATTTGATATTTATGGTGAAAACCATAAAAAAGTCCCAAAATTTATGGTTTTTTTTCGTTTATTGGGTAAAATATGCAAAATTAAAAAAAACTTTTAGACAAAAGTTATAGATCTTATTAAAATACGTTTTTTATATTCTATGCATTTTTTTTAATTTTGCATATTTTACCCAATAAACGAAAAAAACCATAAATTTTGGGACTTTTTTTTATGGTTTTCACCATAAATATCAAATTTTTGGGTTTTGGGAACCGCAGAGCTGCAATACGCCATCTGGTGTCGACCCACTTGCGGTGGCCATTTTTTATTTTATCTCTGTCTAACATATGTATAAAGAAAGAGACAAAACAGCAAGATGGTTGCCGCAAGTGGGTTCAGGGTTGAGTAGTTACACAAGATTTCAGGTCCTAATTGTCACTATGATTTTCGTAATCAGCGCATCAAAATACATAAAAGTACGTAGTATAAAAAGAACCAAAAATATTTTTAAAAAAATCAAAATTCAAAAATTTTTGAAAAATTCCGAAAATATTGTAAAAATCGTTTGCCCATTATCGGGATAGGCTTAAAAGTTTCGTAAAAAAAAGTTGTTTTTTTGAAAAAATTTTGAAAATTAATCGATTAGTACGTAAAGTAAAAAAAAATTTCAAAAAAATTGGAGATGCAATTGCAGATGGACTTTCACTTTGGCGTGGAATATATTAAATATTACTACATTCCCAATTCTGGTATCACCGTAACAAAAAAGGTGTGAAAACACCTTTATTCCATCCTACATTCCACATTCTTAAATTTATTACATTACAATTAATTCTACTTACGTAAAACAATAAATTGTACAAACAATAAAATTTATAAAACAGAATGTAAGAAAATTAGTTTTAAAAAAAAAATTCCTTAAACTAAAATTTAATTTATTTAAATTTGGTGACAAACGGAAGTTATACATTTGACTTGCATAGTAAAGTGAAACGTTTATTGGTTACACCTTCCTGATTGACGAGCACTTTTCTTAGTATTTCTTTCTTTTACCAGTTCGTGTAGACGGGTGGTTGTCTTGTTTAGTTTTAGCTGTAACGTAATCTCTCTCAATCTTCCAAAATGAGAATTTACAAAGATCTTATCACCAGTAAGTAAAATTAATTTTTAATCTAGTTTTCATATTTTTCTATAGTTTCACGATTTGTATCATTAATCTAACAATTATTTGATTCTAAAAATGAATTGACATTTCAGCATTTTTCCCCCCCTTATTTTCATTATTTTTAATAATAATTTTTTTCTTTTTTTATTAATATAAATGTAGGAATTAATTTTTTATATTATATTTTCTATTTTTTAATGATTTTATTTAGAAAATATTTCATTCAATACTTTCGAAACATAACCTATTTTCGTATAAGCTGATTACTATAAATGGAAAAGTGACAGATTTTTATTGTTGCTAGAGATTTTATGATGTTTTCCGTATAAAATTTAATTCAATGCAAAATTATTAATTATTTTTCTTAAAAATTTTTTTAATATTTAAAATTTTTTTTAATTTTCTTTTTTACATAATTTTATTTTAATTTAATTTTGTTTTAATTTAATTTGTTGTAAATTTAATTTTGTGATTTTACAATTGGTACTATATTTTTTATATGAGGAAAAAATTTTTTTTTTTGAATTTTATAAATGAATTCGTTTTATAGAAGTATTTTTAAGTCGTTGAAAATATGATATAAGCGAAAATTCCATGTACTAATCTTTAAAGAAGAAAATTATTTAAAAAATTAAAATATTTATTACTTTTTTGCTTTAATTTTTTATTCAAGTTTCAAAAATTTAGAATTTCTTATGTGAAAATTTTTTGCTTTTCCAGTATATTTTCTCCACGACTTGAAAATATTTTTAAAAAAAATTTGATATTTATTTTCTCTTCGTATAACATAACCTTTACCATATGGTAAAATTAAAACTTTTTTTTTCATTAAAACTTTTATTCGAATAATAGGAAATCTTTTAAATATAAAATTCTAATGGTAAAAATCAACTGTTAAAATTTTTAAAATTTAAATTTCAATAACCAAAACTCGTGATTGAAATTCGAGCGTTTGCCCTTTTAAGAAAAAAGTAGAATAAAAAATTCTCTTTATGTTTTCGTTTTTTTTTTTTAAAAATTCCTTTTTCTTAATCTTTTCTCATCTCCTGAATTCATTTACCTATTTTTTTTTCTTGTATTTATTTATCTTTAGAATATACTTTTTAAATAATTTCTTATTATGCAAAACTTTTTCAATTTGAAATTGTATTTTATTTTTCTCTTTAATTAAATGTCTCTTATTTATGTTCTTGAAAATTTGTGACCAAAAAATTATTCATTTTTAGACGATGAGATGTTCTCTGACACCTATAAAGTTAAACTTGTTGACGAAGTTTTATATGAAGTCTATGGAAAGGTGAGTAAAAATATTATTTTTACTAAAAATGAAACTAAAATTAATTTTTTTTTAAAATTTATTAATTAATATAATCACTAATTTATTTATTCATTAAATATCATTTATTTATTTCTAGAAGTTTAGGGGATATAAATTTCATATATTTTTCTTTATTTCAATCTTCATTTAATAAATAAATTTATTTATTAAAGAGAGATTGAAATAAAAGAAAAACATTTGGATAAATAGTCTTAATTAAAGAATTAAATTTTTCAATTTTTAATCAGGATTGCCACGGATCAGGAAACTCATGGAAAAATCAGGGAATTTTATGAAAAGTACTGGAAAAATATCACATTTCTAAAAATGCTACTAAAAATTACAATTTTTGAAATTTTCAATTCAAACTTTTGCTTCTAAAAAAAACAAAGCTGAAGTACGCAACGTTTATGATAAACAATTTTTAAGTAAATAATTTTCTAAAATGAAAAATTCTATAATTTTCTGCCTAAAATTTTTTTTATAATTTGTTAATGAAAACTAAGAAATATTTTTTAGACGAAAAATTATAGAATTTTTCATTTTAAAAAATTATTTCTTTAAAAATTGTTTATCATAAACGTTACGTACTTTAGCTTCGTTCTAAAAATTATTATTATCTTACATTTTTATAATATTGTAAGCCTCGGATCGATTTTTGAAAGAAAAAAAAAAGTCATTTTAATCGATTTACATTACAAGAACATTTCAATTCAGTTTCAGAACAAATTTTGAAAAAATAATTTAGTTACATTAAAAAAACAAGTTGTAAATTCAGATGTTCATTACATGAAAATTTTGCTTCCTCTTTACGATCAGCAAAAAAATTTGCTTCCTCGTGGAGAAAGCAAAATTTAAATAGCCAAAATGTGAATTTTTGATTTTTTAACTTTCATTAATTCTTTAAGGAATACGATTTTATTATATATAACATTAAATTTTTCTATTTAAAAATTTTTTCGATTAAAAAAAAATTTTTGGAAAAAAGATAAATTTTTTTTTTTGGGGTATTTTTCAGAATCCTTTGGTCACATTTGAGATATTAGTATGATAAATGAGCCTACCAAATTTTATCTAAATCCATTAAAACCTGTTAAAGTTATCTTCTAAACAAAAAAGGGATCCACACACACATACATACATCCGGACAATTGATCAGGATCTCATATAACATGTTTCTATAAAGAAAAAAATTTGTTTCCGCCACTTTGAAAAGTTTTATAAACGAAAGGACTACAAAGCTTCCTCCACGAGGAAGCAAAAAGAAGAAAATTTTTCAACTCTGATTTATGCACATTATTCGTATTCAGAATTTCGGAAAATGTTTTAAATAATTAAATTTTTGAAGAATTTCATTAAAATATAATATTGAAGAAAAATTAATTTTAAATGAAAATTTGTGAAATAATTGAATTTCAGGAGATTTTTTATTAAAATTTTAAAAATAATTGAATTTTGAAGAGTTTGATTTAAATTTTTTTAGGAATAATTGAATTTTAGGAGATTTTCAATTTGATTTAATGAAATTTTTTTTTTTGATAAATTTCAGACAATAATTGAATTTTAGAGAATTTTCAAATATGTTTTAAATAATTGAATTTTTATGGAGTTACAGTTAAGATTTTTAGAAATAATTGAGGGTCCCGATCAAATAACTCGGACAACCGCTCTAATGGTAGTCAAGACCGTTCAAAAGTGAAAAAAAATAAAAATTTTTAAACGTATTACCATGTAAAGAACAGAAATACGTAACTTTTTTGTCTTTGAAATTTTTTTTGTAAGATTATTTTTAATAATAATAAAGAAAAATTGAATTTTTTTTTTCTCAATTTTATTGAAATTTAAAACATAAATTGTCCTATCTTAAACAAATATTTACGAAATTAAGTAAATTTTGATATATTTTAGTATTAGGGTTCAAAGAAGCCGACAAATTTATTAAAAATTTAAAAAAAAAAAGTTAATTGTTTAATTATTTTTTAATAAAAATTGAGACTTGTTAATGTTTATATGGTTTCTCAACTTCAACGGCAAAAAGTATGCGGAGAACTTTAAAATTGAAAGAACTTGCAATGAGAGATTTGTTTATTAATATATAAAGAAGTTTTCTGTGAATTATGAATGCATTTCATATACAGTCGAACCTCGATAAGTGAGACTTGTCTAACTGAGAAACCTCTATAAGTGAGAAGAATTTTCAGGTCCCGTCATTTTTACATGCAAAAACTTTTATAAGTGAGAATCATTTTTCTTGATTAGACCTCTGTAAGTGAGAAAAGCGCGCTTTTCAAACCTCTATAACTGAGAATCTTTTCTATATTATAATTTTCTAAAAGTCAATATGAAATTAATAAACAGTAATTAAAATTTGATTAGACGTGTAAGAACAAAGGCTCTTTGTTCAAACTACAATTATACCTATCATACAAAATAAACTTTAGTTTTTGGGAATTTTCGACAAATATTAATGAATCAGTTTTTGACAAAATTTATGAGCTTGAAAATCATGTTAAGAATTGCGCTACTAAAAAACAAACAGTAATAACAGACTTTTTTCATAAAGCTTAAAGCAATAACAATTTTTATTAAACTTGTTAAATAAATAATTATATGAAATTTCTTATTACGTAAAAGTGAAACTTTAATTGACAAAACCCTTAAAAAGCCTCTATCAGTGCAATAACCTCTGTAAGTGAGAAAACCCACTCTTCGACCTTCATAAGTAAGAACCTGTCTTACTGAGAAACCTCGATAAGCGAGAAGAAATTTTCGGTCCCTTGGATTCTCACTTATCGAGGTTCGACTGTAAATAATTGAATTATAAGGAATTTTAGAGAATTTTCAATTGAAAAATTCATTTAAAAAATTGAATCTTCGATTTTTAAAATCTAATTGAATATTTAAAAAACTTGATTAAAGTTTATTTATTAATTTATTGGAAAAAAAATAAATCCAATAGTCCGAAGACCAATAACAGGATTATAAACAATTTGATACATAATATAAACATAAGCAATATAACATCTGAGAGAATCAATTGTGTGTTAGTAATTAATTCTCAAGGTCGACTGACGAAATCATTCACTAATTTCGAAAAGGCCATTAAAGAATTAGTAAACACATCAAAACCGCTTTCGTTACAAAATTGTTGTTAATGACCTCACATATCATTAATTAGAGTACCTACTAAATGACTACACCTCGTGTTAGTTATTAGAAATAATTAATTAAAAAAGAAATTGTAATTAAAAATTTTAGTAATAATTGAATTTCAGGAGATTTTTAATAAAAATTTTCGTTAATTGAAATTTCTGTAGATATTTTATAAGTCTTAAACAATAATAATTTTAAATTGGAAAATGTTTTAAATAATTGAATTTTCGAAAATCTTGATTAAAACTATTAAAATTAAATTATTCAACAAAAAATTTTAGTTACAAAATTTAGAAATAATTTTATTTTAGAAGATTTCGAATTAAAATTTTTAGAAATAATAATTGAATTTCAGGAGAGTGTTAATTGAAACTTTTCATTTTGAATTGGTGAAATTTTTTTTTTTTAAACTTTAGACAATTATGTGAATTTTCAATTGAAAATTGTTTTAAATTATGTAATTTTCGAAGAATTTGTTTTAAATTATTGAAAGTAATTGATTTTGCCAACAATTGAAGTTAATATATTCTTTTAAATAAATTAAATTTTAAAAAATTAAAAAAAAGTCGTGCAATCCGAGGTTCTATTATCGAAAATCTCTTGAAATATTTTCATAAGGGTCAGAAAAAAAATTTTAATTTTCACTGGAAATCAGGAAAAAATTTTTATTTAAATAAAGACTTAAATTCTTTTTTTTTTTTAGTTAATCACACGAACTCAAGACGATATTCAACTAGCAGGTTCGAATCCATCAGCAGAAGGTGGCGATGAAGGATGTGATTCATCGACTCAGAGTGGAGTAGATGTTGTTTTAAATCATCGACTCACTGAATGCTTTGCATTTGGTGACAAAAAATCTTACACTCTTTACTTGAAGGATTACATGAAGAAGTTAGTAGATTTACAAATTTTTCTTTATTTGCAACTTTAAAAAAAAATCATTTTTCATCATTAAAACAAAATTCATGATTATTATACTAAATTTCTAATTTTTCAACAACAAAAATTGTTAATATTTTACAATCATTAACATACACAAAAAAAAATACATACGAAATGTTAAGAAATAAAAATAATTGAATTTTTCCGATTTAGATTTTTAGAAATAAGTGAATTTCAGGAGATTTTAAATTGAAAAGTTTTATAAACTTAGAGAATATTGCTGGAGATTTTTTTTTACAAATTTAATACAATAATTGAAATTTAGATTATTTTTAATGATAATTTTTTGTTTTAAATAATAGGCTTGACAAAGTATTTTAAATAAAAATGAGTAAAAATTCCTGAAGTGGATCACCCAAATTAAAGATGTACTGTATTTGCTTGGAAATATAGAAAATTAAAACATTATTATGAGTTGAAAAACTGTCTCATTTCAAAAAAATTAAATTTCTCAAAGTTATAAACAATTGAAGTTTTTTGTTGTCTTAAGTTAAAAAATGAATATCTTAGAACTAAGTGAACGGATCTTTATAAAAATTGGTATACTTACACAGAAAATGATACAGTTTTAGTTGAAAATTTGAAAATTAAAAATTTTTGATTTTTAATAATTGTTATTGCAAAATTAATTGTTTATTTAAAAAATAAAACTCAATTTTAATATCGAAAAATAACTATTTAAAAAAATTGTTATTTTATAGAATTTTTATTTAACTGAACTTTGATAAAGCAGATTTTTAAATAATACAATTTCCATTTAACAAAATTTATGTCTAGAATAATTTTCATAAAGAAGAATTTTTATTTATCAAATTTGTTCTTTTGTCAAATTTCTATTTATCCGAATATTCAATTAAAAGTATTTTTATTAACAGAATTTACAATTAAAAGAATTTCTATATAACAAAATTTCTATTTAACAAAACTTTTATTAGAAAATAAAATAAAAATTTCGCGCCTCACAAAAAACGCGATAAGTTTTTTGCTAATTGCGATCCACGAAATTTTAAAACGGTTTTCGAATCCTTATGAAATTCCTTTTTTAATAAACTTTGGATCAACTTTCTACGACAACGAGAACATGGTCTATTTTTTAAATAAACAATTAATTTTGCAATAACAATTATTAAAAATCAAAAATTTTCTAATTTTTAACTAAAACTGTATCATTTTCTGTGTATATATACCAATTTTTATAAAGATCCGTTCACTTAGTTCTAAGATATTTATTTTTTAATTTAAGACTACAAAAAACTTCAATTGTTTATAACTTTGTGAAATTTAATTTTTTTTGAAAAATCCTTTGAGGCAGTTTTTCAACTCATAATAATGTTTTAATTTTCTATATTTTCAAGCAAATAGAGTACATTTTTAATTTGGGTGATCCAATTCAGAAATTTTTACTCAAATTTAATTTTGAAAGAGATGTATAGTAAGAGAAGTTTAAATTTTAAGTTTTTAAAAATTTCGATTTCTATTAAAAAAAAATTATTAACTGAATTATAGTTGGATTTTTTATATTATATTTTTAAATACTCATTATTGTTAGAAAACAAACAAACCTAAACATAATTAATTTTGATAGTTTTGTTATTTTAATGATAATAATTATATTATTTTTTGTGATTTTTTTTTTAATAGATTAATAGATCATTTACAAAAAGAAAAACCAGAAGAAGTAGAAAAATTCAAGACAAACACAACCAAAGTGATGAAGGATGTTTTGAGCCGATTTAAGGAACTTCAATTCTTTACTGGCGAATCTATGGACGTCGATGGAATGGTTGCCTTGATGGAATATCGTGACATTGACGGAGAAAGTGTGCCTGTACTCATGTGCTTCAAACATGGACTCATTGAGGAGAAATTCTAAGAAAATTTTAGATAATGAACTAATTTAATGAATGAAACAAATTTTGTAAGTTCATTAATCATTAAAAAAAAAAAGAGAAAAGAAACAAAAATTTAACATGATAATTCGTGGCCCGCTCGACACACTTGGAGCTCGTCACTGCACAATCATGTAATAAAAAAAAAAAAACAATCGGCTGTCAGATTCACGCTGCTTAATTACTTTTCATCTTTCGCAGCGTCTATTTTCATCCGAACAAATAAAAAAAGAAAACTATCGATTTAATTTTTTTTTTTTAAACGAAAATGGTGTCATTGAAAACAAAAAAAATATATATATATCACCAGAAATAAAAAAAACTAAGTATAGACGATATGTTTTTTTTTTTGCAAGTGCTTCCGGAATTGAAATTCTATCTCAATTGTCAATAAATATTATATATTTCATTTTGAACAAAAAACGTAAATTTATTTTTTAAATCCTTTTACAGATAATAAACCGGAATGAAGGAATTGTACAGAAAAAAAAACCGGAAATATGGGGATTTTATGCATAAAAATTTTGCAGGGAAAAATAATAGCCGCTTCCAATGATTCTCGTGCACGATTTATTTATTTTATGAAATGAGAAAAAAAAAATTATTTGCAATTGACTCTCGATTTTTTGTTTTAACGAGAAGCAATGTTGTATATATATATATATTTAGAAAAACGAGAAAAAGAAGATATGGAAAAACGTAGAGAGAAATTTTAATATAAGAAATCTCTTTTTTTTTAATTTTCTTTTTCTTTTTGATACTTTCAAATTTAATTTTTATGTTTAAAATGTCAAAACACGCTTCTTGTTTTCATTTCGAGAGTAAAGCGCAAAATTTATTTATACTGACATTCGACGTATGTTTCAATAAAAATAATTTGATTTTTCCGATATTGAATAAAGTAAAATGTTTTAATAAAAAAAAAAAAAAAAAAAAAAAACACGAAAGTCTAATTTTTTACCTTTTCCATCATTATACAAAATGATCAAAATATACCAGACCCCTCAAAATAAATTCTAAGTCCACTATTTTCTTGTTTTTAAACAGAAAATGTCGAATTAGATTAAACATTTTTTTGTGCGTCTGGTAAAAAATAATCGATTATAATTTTTTTCAACACTTCATAATGCGAATAAAACGATGTAAAAAGATTTGGTGTGATTATGTTTTATCTTATAATAAAAAAAAAATATATTATAAGTTTAAACACTAGACAACCCCCTTAAAAATAATTGAATTTGGAAGAGTTTGATTTAAAATTTTTAGAAATAATTGAATTATAAAGAAATTAACAAATAATGCAAATTATATAAAAATGTATGAAATTTAGAGCGAGAAATCAAAATCTAATTAAATAAAATCATAGTTTTTGTCTGATTTTGAATTATTTTTTTTTTTAATTTTTAATCAAATGCGAAATTCCATTGTGTAAAATAATTAATGAGAAATTTAAAAAATTCTTTATTTAATAAAAATAAGAAAAAAACTTTAAAAGAAGGAAAAGAAAAAAAAATGTCAACATTACGCGGTATTCCCAAGCGGTCACCCATCCAAGTACTAACCGCGCTCAACGTTGCTTAACTTAAGTGATCGGACGAGAACTTGTTTTTTTTTGCGTTTGTATCGTTTATTTATTGCCAAAATCAATAATAGTACAAGGTTTCACAATAAACAATGAATTCATTTTACATTATTTTACAGGACTTACTGGCTAATACAATTGCTCTCGAAGTCGCATACAATATTTTATGCCCACGAATGCATATATGAGTTGAATATTTTTCGCTTCTAACACATATTATTTATTTTTTAATTCCCGAGAGAATTATACCATTTGAAATATTTTTTTCGATCAGAAAGGGCTTAATAAAACTGATCATTCATACATTTTATTTTATTTTAAGAATAATAATAAAAATAAATTAAAAACCTGAATAAACTATATTATTTATAATAATGAATTTTAACAATAACAAGGAAGAAAGGAAAAAAAAAAGTAAATCTAAACTAACTTATAATCTAAGAGTATTTACATGTGTTAATCGATGATTTTCTTTTACAGATAAAGAGTTATAATTTTTAAAGTACAGAATTAATAATTGATGACAATAGTGTAACTAGTATGTTAATTTATTTCCTAATACATTAATTTATGATAAATTTAAATTTATTATGACAAGATTCTTATATTAGTCGTCTAACCAAAAATATTTTTTGATGTTTTGTCTGTGTTTGTCTTTCATTTCTTTATTTGTTGTAAATGTCTTAAATCGCCATTCATCATTTGGTATTTGTGTATCTAAGTGTTTTTCGTAAAGGAAGGATTTTTTCCTAGCATTTCTGTTATAATGGTATATTACTGGAGCACCATGAGTGTCCTGTATATATCCATTCTTGTCTAGGTAGGTAAATGCTTCAGGTGGGACAAAATTAGTTTTTATTACATTTTCAAAATAGTTATCATTTGGGTAACAGATTGAATGAATGAGGCTGTTGTCAGTTACTTTGCGAGTATTTGCAAAGTAATTTCTTGTTATTTTAATTATTTGTGTATCAATTTTATTAATGTTGGCTAAATTGTAAATAACTTTACTTGATATGTATTTCTGGAAGTTTGATTCAGGTGATCTATATTTTCCTAGACATACTCTTATACACTTTCTCTCAAATAATCTGATTTTTTCCATAATGGATGCGCTTAAGTTGTACCAAATAGGGCATGCATACGTTAATATCGGTCTTATGAATAACATATAACAGTTGATTTTTATTTTATAGTGTAGGTGTTTATTATAAAATAATCTTTTTAATTTGTTAAAAACTATTTTTGCATTTTCTAACTGTGTGTTAATGTGTTTTATAAAATTGAGTTTATGGTCTATATTAAGTCCTAAATATTTTACAATTGTTTTATTTGGTACTGGTTCACCGTCGTCTTTCTTTTCTTTTATTTGGAAATTTTTCCAGTTTTTTCTAACATTGCGGTTTGTTTCTGAAAGGGGAGTTCTAAAGAATATGGTTTCGCATTTGGAGACGTTTACTTTTAGTTTCCACGTGTAAAGATAATATTGAACATTCTCAAAAAGCTCTTGCAGTATTTTTTGTATTTTTGTGACTTTTTTACCTATAACGTAAATTATCATATCATCTGCAAATGCGATTCCTTTTTTATTTTCGTCTATATTTATATCATACATTTTTAGTATTTCATAAATATAGATGTTAAATAATATCGGTGATAGAACTGTTCCTTGTTGGAGGCCGTTTTTTACTAAAAATTTCTTTTTTAATGTTATGTTACCATCCGTTATTATGAAACTTTTGTTTGTTATCATGTTTTTTAACAATTTTATTAGATGTTTAGGAAAGGAATTTTTTAATAGTTTAAATATTAATCCATTAGACCAAACAGTATCAAAAGCTTTTTCAAGATCAATTAAACAAGCTCCTACGTATTTTTTATTGTTAAGGGCTTGGGTGATATCTGATGTCAATTTGTTAATTGCGTGTATTGTGGAATGTTTGTTTCTAAAACCGTATTGCTGTTCTGGGATAATATTTTTTTCCGCGCATATTAGTATTAGGGAATCTTTTACTATTTTTCAAATACTTTACTAATATTAGGAAGAAGAGTTATGGGTCTGAAGTCACTTGGTTCTGTGCTATTTTTCCCTTTTTTTGGTATAGGAATAAGTTTTGACTTTTTCCAGTCATTTGGGAAATGACTGTTGTTCAGTAAATTATTAAAGAGAATACAGTAATCCTCTATCATTGTTGGTGTTAGGTGTTTCAATACAATATTTGGGATTTCGTCAATGCCTGCTGATTTTTTATTATTTAAATTTCTAAAAATTTTTAGTAATTTGTATCCTGAGGTAAAGTAATTCGGAAGTATTTCGTTTAACAAATGCGTGTCATTTGCTTTTAAGTTATTATTGAAATTTACTATTGTGTTATTGTTTATTTTATCATTTTCAATTTCTTGTTCTAAAGTGACAATTTTTTTATGAATGATTTTATTTAGTCCGTCCCTCCCGTAATTAGAAAATTTCGTGTGTGTGTTTTTAAAATGTGTACCTATTATTTTAAGTTTATCTTCGTTATTGCTAATTATGTATTTATTATTATTATCAGTTGGTAAGTTTTGAGCAGGTACCTCTGAGTCTTGTAGCAGGGGTGTATTTTGATTGTCAATTTTAAGTTGTGGTATCGAAACTTTTCCTTTTGTTCTAAATAATTTGTTTACTTGAGGAAACATATTTTTTGGATCGTTTGCGGGAATGTTTTTAATTTTTTCTCTCCAATAATCATTTATAGAGTTAATGAATTCTTGTTTTAAAAGAGCTTTTAAAGATATTAATTTATTTTTTAAAAAATTTAATTCTCTGTTATTATGATTTTGAAAGTTTTTATATATATTATTTATTTTCGTTACTATTGTACTTTTTGCTTTTTGAATTCTTTTTATGACAGATGTTTGGTAAATTTCCATGGAGTTTTTACTTTTAATTTTTGGTAGTGAGTTGTTCATTGCACTTGTTATACATTCATTCATATCTTTTAGATATTTGTCTATTTCATCATTTGATAGGTTTCTATTAAAGGGTATGTTAATGTTATATTTTTGGTTTAGTTGATTCGTAAACTTTTCCCAATTAGCTTGTCTGTAATTAAATTTATGATCATGGGTAGCTTTTTCGAGAATAAAATCAGTTTGTGAGTCATAAGAAACATTTAGTAGTATTGCATTGTGGTCACTGTCATATTGTAGAGTTTTAAGTTTGTCCATGTTGTTATATTTTTGTACGTTGAGTCTAGAGTCTAGTATTCCTAAGTCTAGGTATGAGTTTCCTCTAGGGAATGAAGGGAGACTTGGAGTGTATAATTTTAATTTGTAATTTATTTCATTGTCGTCTAACCATTTACGTAAAAATGTTCCCCTAGTGTTAGAATTTTCATTTAACCAACTAGTGTGTTTAGCATTTAAATCACCTGTTATTATAAAAAAATTGTCACAATCGCTCAGATTAAGTATTTGGAATAATTTATCAATTTCTTGATTAAAGCATAATCTATTTCCATATGCAGCGTAGGCTGATATAATGAAAAGCTTTTGATTGTTAGGCAATGGGATTTTTATAATAACTGTTTCTAAATTTTGGAACTGTTCTATCTCGGATATAATTATCTGTTTGAATTTAAGTTCTTTTCTTATGAGAATTGCTACTCCTCCGCCTATTGTTGCATTTGGTCTATCTCTTCTAATTACTGTATAATTTTTAAAATCTATTTTGTGTATTGGATTTAGTCTAGTTTCACTTAGGGTTAATATATCTGGTTTATATTTTTTTATGAAATTTAATAGATTATTTCGTCTTTCATTTGATATAATTGAGTTGACGTTTATAGATATTATTTTTAAATTTTTTACGGCAATGGTATTTGTTGTGTTGAAGTTTGTGTTTTTATCCATTATGAACAGAATCAGTTAAAAGTGTATAGAGATTATTAATTCTTTCGCTGTTTTGTTGAACTAATTGTGTGATTTGGAGTATTTGATTGGTTAGTTTGTTTAAACTTTCTTGTAAATTTTGTGTATTATTTAATGTTTGTTGCTTGTTGTTTATTGGTTGTTGTGTGTTTGTATTATTATTTTCTGTGTTTTGCAGTGTAC